CTTCCCTCAGCAACTGGGCACCTGGAGTCCTTAGCTCCAGGGCACTCGCACTGTGGACTCCTCTGGCCTTGTAGTGTGGCTGCTGCCCAGCGTCCTCCTGCAGACAGGGAGGCCTGGAGCCCTCCAGTGGGTGAGTACCTGGGGAGATCTACCTGAACCCTGCCCAGTCTGCACCAAGCACCTGGAGGGGGGGCTGGGGCAGAAGGGGGGCAGAGATAGGGAGCAGGGGGCACAGGCTCCCTGTTCCTCTACCCAGCTCCCCTGGGGCAATCTTCCTGTGTTGCCCCCTCTGAGGGTGTGGGCCCCGAGGCAGAGCGAGACTGCCTTGGGAGGGCTTCTCCCCTGCCCTGCCTGCAGGGCTGCCTCCCTCCGAGCTCAGGTGAGCTCCTGTGAGCACTGTCACCATCTCCGTCTGTGAAGTGGGAATCTGGGCTGACGTGAGGCTCAGTATTGGGCCCACCTGGCAAATCCATTATCCTGACAGTGGGGTGGGGACAAGGAGAGGCTGCACTGGCCAGGACAGCCCAGCCCAGTATGGGCAACCTGCTAAAGCTCTCTGGCATGTGGCCTGGCTCCCTGGCTGACCCGCCTTGCTGTAGAGCCCCCATTAGGGTCTGTGAGGTAAGTCTGGAGCAGTCCAGGACGGAGGCCCAGAGCTAGACCCTCAAGGCCCTGGCCCTCTGCTGGCCATCTGAGCCCTTGAGGGAGCTCTGGTCCCTGAGGAAGTGGTGCTGTGTGCTCGGGCTCCTTTTTCAGGTGGCACCCCCTTGCTGGGGGGGTCAGGTCACAAGTCCCACAGCTGTGTGCTGCTCTGAGGACCCATGATTGGAGGGAGGTGGTACTGAGAGGGGTCCCTGCTCTGCATATGTGACAGTTGGCAAGGTCACAGCCTCCCTCACAGGGAAGTGTGGAGTCAAGGCCACCCCAGGTAAGGTGTTGCAGGCAGGGTCTGGGTGCCCTGGAGGGCCAGCTCAGGAGGCCCGTTCCTCACGGGCCTTCTCAGGTGGGAGGTAGGTGCCCGCCCTGGCTGTGGAGGAGGCTGACCAGGCCTGGGGTCGGGTGTGGAGGGGCCCCCTGGGACCTCCCTCTGTGGCGAGGCCCTGGTGGAGCCTCTCCTTGGCACCTGGATGTGTCCCCCAGGGTCTTCTTCTGGGTCTTATGAGCTGGCGGTGCAGCTGGGGTCTCTGCAGGAGCAGTGACAGCCCTCCCTGCCCGCCGCCGCCTCGGACTACAGCACCCGCGACAGGACAGCTTGCCACGTGGCACCTCTGCCTCGTCTCACTCCTTGGCCTCTTCCATCTGGCTTCCCAGTGGCACCCACTCCCCACGGTCTTCCCAAGTCCCAGCCTGCTGTCGCTCCTTCCCGCCCTGGCATCTGCTGCCTCTGTGTCCCCTGTCTCCTGGGGCAAGGCCAGTGGAAGCTTCAGTGGGCTGGACGGACGGGCTGCCCAGACTCACACCCACAGAAAAGCCCTGCCCTGCTCTGCAGACCCTTTGGGGTGTGTGTGTGTGTGTGTGTGTGTGTGGCGTGCACCACAGGGGAGACCTGTGCTTTGACTCGGGGGCCCAGAGCCTCTGGCCCTCTACATGTCATTCCCTGGCTGTGACTGTGACCTGCTCGAGCCTGAAGAGCTGGGCTGCTGTGGGGACCCTGAGGCTCTGCTGCCTTCCTGGCCCTGGCAGCCTGGTGGCCTCGGGGTGCAGCTGTGCCGCCGGCGGCTGTGGGGCTGCGGAGGGCAGGGCAGTTGGTGGCAAGGTGCCATGCCAACACCCGGGCCTGTGTTGCTGTTGCTGGGCACTGTGGCCTCAGGCCCTGGGGCCCCCGGGGTGACGGGCATGGTGCCCTTCTCCTCTCGCTGTGCAGCACTGCCCGGCCCTGCTGGGCTGTGCTTTCCAGGGCCGAGGCGGTGAGAAGTAAACAGTGTTGCTAATTAGAGCAGAGCTGCCAGCTTCCAGAAGGGGGGCCTCCCGCCCCCCCCGCCTTCCGCGGCCCAGATTGCAGCAGAGTCAGGCATATGCTGCAGTTGGAGCCTGTGTGCTTTTCGCAGTTGCGGGGGGCTGGGGGCCTCTGCGGCGCTGCCTGCTGAGCCCCGCCCCGTCTATACCTGTGCAGCCCAGTCTTGGAACTGGGTGGTGGCTGTGGGCCGGCGCAGGGGTGGGAGGCTGGACAGGGACAGGGTGCCTGGGCTCCCTCCCTGGCTCCTTCCTCCACTCTGCAGGCCCAGCCGAGAACTTGGTGTTCCATGTGTCTTCTGGACTCCCGAGGGCGCCTCCACAGGGACGAGGTTCCGCTCGCTTCGCAGAGGAGTGGGCCAGGGCCCGAGGGCTGCACAGCTTGCCTGAGATCCTGAGGGTGCCCGGTGTCTCGGCCCCTGGGCCCTCCCTGCCTAGGCTGGGCAGGGGTACCTGGGGATGCCCTGTTGGCTTCTCCTCCCAGCCCACCCTGCCAAGAAGCCAGCCCTCAGACAGGGCTCCGCATGGCCCTGGGACCCCCAGGAGCAGCGGATTTTCCTGGCCCTGGGGGTGTGAGAGGTCGTGGGAATGACTTGGCATGCCAGCTTTCTGAGCCCCCCAGGCCCCTGGACCTGGGACTCAAGCTGAGCCCCAAGTCCCTCCCCTATAGTAAAGGTAATAAGTGGACGTCCCTCAAGGGACTGTCACAGGGTAGCACAAGTGCCCAGCCATGCAGTGAATGTTGCTGATAAAGGGGCGTGTTTACATGCTGACATGGGTCGCGACCCCACAGGAGAGGTGGACAGGGATCTGGCAGGCACCCCCAAGGACAGGAGTGGGCAGGCCCTTCACACTGTGGGGTGTTAGAGGACTGTCCTCCCAGGGGGAGAGGGGAGGGAGGAGGCCAGAGGGCCGGGGAAGGGGTATGTGCCTTGTGCACCAGAGTGGAGCTCCAGTGGTAGAAGCCAAGGAGGTAGTGGGTTGGCCAGCACCAGGAGTCCAGGAGCAGGCCCTGGTTGGCATGGACCTTCCCCTGGGCCTGCAGAGGCCCAGCTGAGGTGACGGTGCTGCCAGGGACACGTGCAGGCTCCTTGACCCAGGTTCTGGCCTCTGCCCACTGGTCTTCTGGGAGCCTCTGTTCCTGGCCACTCTGCGGCCAGCACAGAGACCCACCCTGCTAGCAGGGGTGGTGGTCGTGGGGGCAGGAGACAGACTGCACAGGTTTGGCCATGGCATGGACTGGACATGAGCAGAGGCTCCAGGCTTTGGGGAGCCAGCGTGGGCCCCCTGGTTTGGAGTGTGTCCTGAAGCCTTGTGATTGAGCAGCCTGAGGGGACCCAGCAGCACCCAGCTCGGCTGGTAGGGAGCAGAGGGCAGCGAGCGGTGGCCTCACAGCCCACAGGACAGCAGCTGCTCGGCCCTGGCTTTGTCCTCAGCCAGGCCTCTCCACGCGTTTGCTCTTTGTACAGGAAAGTATTCACTCGGTTCTGGCCACTGTGTGTGGCTCTATCCCGTCAAACCAGGGCCTCGACAACCCGTGGGCTGATCAGCAGCGGGCCGTGGGCAGGCTGTGTCCAGCCTCGATCCTCAGATGCTCTGCCCCCCGCTTTTGGGAGCAGGGCTGGGGAGTCCTGGACTTGGGTGCTATGGGGGCCTGAAGGCCCGGCAGAGAGGAGGTGACGGTCAATAAAGGGGCCAGTCCTTTGGTGGTTGGATGGCCCAGGGCCATGTCTGTAGGAAGCAGACGGGCGTTCAGTCCCAGGGTGGGGAGGCTCCCTGGGAACCAGAGAGAGCCAGAGGTGGAGCTGTCTTCGAGGATCACCTCAGAGTGGTTCAGGCTTCCAGGATGGCGTGGGTGACACGTGGTCACTCCCTGTTGCCCCCAGCCTCTTGTGCCGGCCCAGATCTGCTGCGTGACACTCTAGAAGGTTGCAGAAGTTCCTCAGCCTTTTCCAGGCCCCCAGTTGCGGCAGCCCTAGTCTCCTCTCTGGGACTTCTGATCTCTTGCAAATGTCATCCCCAGGGAAGCCAGGAGCCCTAGCAGAGTGGGACACCAGGCTGGGCCGTGTCCCTGGGCTGGATTCGGGTCCTGCTGGCTGTGGCAGTGTCCTGGCTGCAGGGAGGTCTGGGGGGCCTCAGATTCCAGGTGGGGCCTGGGCTGGGCAGCCCTCCTGGCTTGACACCCTTTCCCTAGGTTAGGCCCCGGGAAGGGCAGGGGTGTGGCTCCGTGTCAGAGAGCCTTCCCGGCACGTGTGAGGGCCTGGCTTCCACCCCCAACCCCAAAAATAAAACAATAAAGACTTAGGTTTTCTTCATGCCACCTAGAACCAGGGGACTTTTGCTGTCAACTCCTTATCTCTGGGCCACTCCAAAGGAGCACCTTTGGGGCACATCCCAAGACAGATTCCTGCATCTCCACACCTGTCCCTATCAGCCACGCAGCAGAGAACTCACGGGCACTCACAGTCCTCAGGGAGAGGCAGGCTCTCCCTTCCCCCACTCGACCTCAGGACCAGCTGCACCCCAGACCAGCCACACACAGAACCCATGTCCACCCCACCACGCGGCCCTGCCGGGCAGGTTCATGGAACCCCTGGGATGTGTCTCTTTGAGCTCCCGGGGAGGAGGACGCAAGCCAGGACTCCTGGCTTTGGGGGACATCTGGGAGTGTTGGTGGGAGCCCCAGCAGGAGTTGAAGGGCTCAGGCTCTGTCGCTGAGTGACACGGGGTTATTATGCTGTCATGGGGACACCTGGAATTCTCTCCCACCCCACTGAGAGGCAACTCATTAGGAAGTCCCCACCCCCGCCATTGCCAGCTCGGGGCCTGCACCCACTGTCCCCACCCAGTTTCAATGACCGTCCTGAGGGCTTCCACTGTAGGCCAGGGGGCCAGAACAGGCCAACATCCAGAGCCAGGCAGTGGCCAGCCTGTCCAGCACAGTGATGGGCCCTGGGCTGTAGACCTTGAGGCCACCATGTGAGCCCACCGTCAGGCTGATGGCGGCTGGGGCTCGCCCTGGTGCTCACCCACCTTGGCTACTGGCCATGCCAACCCCAGTCTTGGGCAGGCTGCCCACCTACCTGCGGAGAGCACTCCAGCCCTTCCCCAAGGATAGCCAGCAGCAGGGTCTCTGGTCTGTCAGGACCCTGGGGAGAACGGAGAGCAGGAAGACCAAGCCCAGGTAGTGTCTGTGTGTCGTCTAATGCGTGGGGCAGACTGCAGGGGTCTTGCCTTCCCCAGGCAGTGCCCTGGTGGACGACACCAGGACATGGAGGTCAGCGCTCAGGTCCTGGGCCTGCCTCTGCCAGCGCCTTGGTGTGGGCTGGCCTCTGAGCCTTAGTTTTCCCACCTGCAAATTGGGCTGATGACGGGCCCCACCTCAACAGGGCATGGTCAGACCCCACGAGAGATGGTCAGGGCAAGGACCCTGGGAAAGAGTGTTCACTGCGGGACAGTTGTGGGAGCAGGGGTTGCAGGGACAGGGGACTCAGTCTCGAATGCTCTGCTCAGCATTGGGCCGCCAGCCTGACCAACTGTGTCTGTCACTCTCTCCAAGGGAAGACAGTCTTGGTCTACCTGCAGCCGAGGATGACCCCATAGCTGACCTGGGGTGGCCCGGGCCCTCCCAGCGGCTGGGCTTTCATGGCACGATTCCTCACGTGGTCTGCTCTGACGACATGGAGGAGCCAAGCCCCAGTATGGAGGCCTGCAGCTTGCCCCTGTGGGCTGTAAGCCAGGAGGACAGGGATGGGGACAGTTCGGTGTCATCGGGCCGCATTTCCGGCTCCTCTGGGGGCCATGAATCATGTGCACCTCCCCGAGGGCCCTGGAGGGAGAGGCCGCCCCAGATGCTAGGGCCCCGGCGGCATCCCAGAAAGAGCAACCCACGGCTGGAGCAGCTAAGGGACAAGATCCGGGCGCAGACGCAGTGGCAGGCTAGCTGCGCCTCCTTGGGCACCTCAGCACCCTCCAGTGCCTCGCGCCTCTACAAAGCTGCGTCGCTGGCACCCAGGAGCAAGACCCGCAAGGCGACAAGCTCCCTTCCAGCCCCTACAAGATGCCCAGGTCAGTGGCAGGTTGGCTGGGGGAGGGAGGCTGGGCCTGAGGCTGTGGAGGCCAGGAGGCAGGCGGGTTGGGAGGGTGCCAGAGGCAGGGGCACCGGTGTGGCCCACCAGGGAGGTGTGTGCCATGTGCCCAGTGCCCCGAGGGCTTCAAGGCCCCAGAGCCACGGGGAGATTGGAGAGGGGCTTCTGAGCTGGGTTTAGGTGAGGAAGGCCCATTGATGGCTGAATCACATTGGAAGGACAGGGACGTGGAGGGTGCGGAAAGAACCTGGGTCTGTTTCTTTGTCCCTGAAGCTTTGGGGGCTGGTCCCGAAGCAGGCCAGCTGCGTGGTCAGGGACCCTAAGAAGCCAGAGTGGGGTCTAGAAGGTTCACCCGCTTCCTGGCCTGGAGAGGGGTGGCATATCTAGGGAGCCTCACTGCTGGGCAGGAGGGGGCCTGGCCCAGGTGCCTCCTTCTAAGGAGGCAGGGAGATGGACATCTGCCCTTTTTCTTTTTTAAGGCAGCAGCTTATTTTTAAAGATGATTGTAAACTACATGACATAAGACCTGCCATCTTTGGCATCCCTAAGTGTCTGTTAGTGGCATTAAATGTATCCTTTGCTGGGTGGCCACACCTCTGTCCATCTCCCAAGCTTCCCCATTATTCCAAACTAAGCCCTGTCCCCATTAAACACCAGCCCCCCCAGACCCCACCCCTCTATTTCCTGTCTCATGGACCTGGGCTCCGGTCGCCTCATGGAAGTGGGTCCCCCAGGACGGCCCTTGTGACTTTTTCAAAGGTAGCGTGCTTCTTTCTGAAAGCATAGATGATGAAACGCCAGGGAGACCGCGGCTGCTCCCTCCGTGGCCCTCCCAGTGTTTCTCTGGCCAGCTCTGGGGTGTGCCCTCTGAGCCTTGCTGCCTCGAAAGGATGGGATTGAACCAGGGGCTGTGGCCTCCTTTCCCATGTGGAGGTTCCAAGCCCAGCCAGTGCCCTGCAGGAGGGCAGATTCTGCTCTGTAAGCCACGGTGGTGACCTGTCGGTGCCAGGTCTGGCCTAATGAGGCAGCTTCCCACTAAGGGGTGTCCTCGCCGGGGCGTGGCCCGAGGTGCTGCCCCTGAGCCTTCTCCCTGCCCCCTCTGTGTGCATGCCCCAGGCTTCAGCGACCTGCATGCAGCTGAGCCCGGAATGGAAGACATAGTACTCTCTGGCCTGGGGCACGAGCTCTCCCGGGTCACCCAGCACGAGGCTTCAGGTGAGTGGTGTGGATACCACGGGCTGGGCCCCGCTTACAGATGACACTGGAGGTCAGAGAGGACCCTAGCTGAGAAGGTGCTAGTGGGGATTTGGAGCCTGAGCTGTAACCCTCTGCCTCTCAGGGGAGAGAATCCCAGGCCCCTCAGGGCAGGGGGCTGGAGGGGCATCGCTTTGTAGAGCCATCTCCTGTGCAGAAGGAGGTGTTCTCACTACCTCGCGGCCAGCCCGAGGCCCTCCAGGACCCCCAGCCCCTGGCTCCCTGGGCCGTCTGGCAGACGTAGGCCCTGCCTAGCTCTGGAGGTGCTGCGGGTGGGCCATGGGTCAGAAGACTTCCAGGTAGGGGATGGGCCTGGGGACACACGTGGCTGAGTTTGCTCACTCATTCTATAGACAGAGGAGGGGTGGAGGGACTGGCGGGCTGCTCTGGGAGTGGAGGGCTGCGCTCTCGGGAACACACGCCTCACCCCACCGTGCAGCCTCCAAGGGTGCTGGACCCGGGGGTGCTGGACCCGAGCAGCTGACAGCTGGGCTTGGGCAGCTCTGTTTGAAGGCAGGCATGGGGTGGAGAGAGGTGGGCTCTTGTAGGGTTTTGGAGACCCCAGAGTGGAGAGGGGAGGAGGCTGGGAGGTGTTCTATGTGCTTGGCTTCTGAGTTCCCCGGCCCAGCAGGGTGGCGGAGGTTTCTGCAGGGGCTGGGAGAAGGCAGTCAGAGGCAGGCCCCCGTGTTGCAGTGGTGGCCAGTTGGACATGTGTAGGGGCCGTCTGGCCCTGTGTTCTGCCAGCCAGGATCCCAGAGCTGGCCTGACCCACAGCTGAGCCAGGTACCCCGCCCCTCTGGCTGCAGCCCTCGCTGCTGGGCTCCCGGGGGGCCCGGCTCATCTGGTCACCCACCCACTCACGGAACCCCAGGACTCGGGATGCGCGTGTAGTGGCCACGTGGGGTCCACTCCTCACTCTCCCTCCCTCTTCCTCTTCCTCTCGCTGAAGTTCCAAGGGAAAAAACTAAGAGGACCAGAAACATCTCTTGGAAAAGGGAGAAACCTGCCCAGCCGCTCTGCCCCAGCGCACCGGCCAAAGGCAAAGGTGAGAGCTGGGCACCAGGGTACGGGGTCCCTGTACCCCGTTGAGTACAATGGCGTGGCCCCATTGACCACTCCTGGACCTCACACAGGGACATGGGGACGTGTCAGGCTGCCCAGAGAGGCTCCCCCCGCCCTCTGCCAGAGTTGGCAGAAGCTCTGGATTCAGTCCTGAGGTTGGCTGGCTGGCAGGGTCACCTGCACTGCCACACACACAAGGCTCAGGACACCTGGGATCTGGGGGCCTCAGCTCCAGTGGCCACCAGAGGAGCCGCGGGTGGCTGCTGCCTGTGCAGGATGTGTGTGTCCCTCATGGTGAAGTGAGAGACCGCAGCCCGAGCGCTGTCCTGTCCTTCCAGCCCCCGCCACAGTGCCTGAGGACAAGGCACTGCGCACCCCCACGGTGCTGCCGAAGTGAGGGTGCGGGACGTCTGGGGGGCGGGCGTCCTCGCTGGCCTGGCTTGGGACTTGGAGACTTAGGGTTCCAGGCGGAAACAAGGACAGGCTCTTCCACCCACCCAGACCAGGGAGGGTGGGGGAGGGGTGGGGTGGGGGAGGGGTGGGGGAGGGGGAGGCTCGCAGATCCCACCCTCTCCAGGAGGCTAGCCAGGGTAAGGCCACCACTAATGCTGTCACTGATAATAGAGGATATAATTAACAATAGGTGATAACAGAGCCCTCCCTGTGTGTACCTGGGACCACGCCTGGGCACCTTGCCAAGGCCCGTCCTCAGTCTGGGCCCTGGGAACACCCCTGAGAAGCCCCCGGTGTGGAGGACACAGCCTGCAGGGCCTGAGACGGGCTGTGTGGGACCCTGACTGTAAGCCTAAGCAGCACCTGGGGCCAGGACATGGCTCCCTGTGACCCTCTGTGCCTCAGTTTCCCCACTGGGTGAGAACAGGGCCCTGGCCTGCTGGGCAGCATGAGCTCCATGCACACCCAGGCACCTGTGTGGACAGGCATCCGCCTCCCCTGCTGCCTGGGCCAGCAGTGGCCTCCGCCATGCTCAGCAGCAGGTCTTCGGGGAGGCGGGAGGCCCAGCTGGCCATGTGGCCTTGGCAGATTTGTCTGTCAGCTGGCTGGAGGTGACGCAGGACAGCCAGGAAAATCTCCACTGATGTCCAAGAGAGACACTGAAGGGCTCCAAGAAGTTTCCAGAAGCCCCCCTGAAAATGCACAAAATAGAACCCTGTTTTTATATGACACCAAGAGGTGTCATCCCCCTCCCCTGGGCTTTTGGGCTTGTTTTGTTTTAAGGCTAGCTTGAAAAATGACCTGCCTTCTGCCTGACACCGGGTCAGAGGGGCGTGCCACTGCCCACATTCATCACCGCGGCCACCCTGTCACCCCGATGGCAATGAGCATTAGTTGCTGTCAGTGACGAAGTCACAGCTGGGCTAAGGAGGGATGGGTCTGGGTTCAGAGGTCAGAGCCACAGGACTCAGGAACTGGATGAATTAGAAATCTGCTGCAGTTAACAAAAAATTAAACCATGGTAGTATAAAATATTCATCCATCTGGGCCGCAGGAAGATGAAGCCCGATATTTAATTTTAGATTATCGCACCTTACTTTGCATTTTTTATCATAGATGAGGTCAGCTGGAGCCTTGACAGGGCACTGGGGACTTCATCCACATCCACAGATTAAAAATCCTCTCGTAAAAACATTAATTGCCTTCAAAGTGCTCAGCAGAAGGAAAAACGCGCCCACCAGGACCCATCCATCGATGGGCCCCTCTGCTGGGCAACGGGAAGCCGAGCTGGAGGATGGGGGAGGGCTGAGGGTGCAGCGGGGTCTCTGCCCGGCGCCTGGCGGGGAAAGCCTGGCTAGCTTTGTGCAGTGAAGCAGCAATGAGGGCGGGGGGAGCCTCTCTGGGCAGCCTGACACGTCCCCATGTCCCTGTGTGAGGTTCAGGAGTGGTCAATGGGGCCACGCCAGCCTTAGCTCAGGCCTGGGCCCCATCCCTGCCTGCAGAACCCGGGCCCCCTCTGGGCCTGACTCCAGCCACAGTGATGGTGACCCCAGGTTCACTTTCATGGCACCGTGGGAAGGGGCTCCTAGAGCCGCCCCCTCACAGAGGGGACTGGAGGAGTTGGGTCGTTTGCCCGAGGTCCACAGTGGGGGAGGTGGAGCCGGACTAGAACCCAGGCCTGGGACTGCTGTGACAGCACCATGACCTCCCCTGGCCTGGGGGCCTGACCCCAGACGGCATGGCTCAGTGCTGCCCGTGCTCCATCTGGGAGTGTGGTTCCAGACCTGTGGCTGGCGACGCAGGCTCAGGGCAGGTCCATGAGGGGAGTAGGGGGAGCACCCACAGTCCCAGCCAAGGGACCTGTGTCCCCAACTGGCAGAAATCTCCCTCCATGGGGGCTGGGTGTGCATGGAGATCTTGATTCCAGACCTCAGGGTGTGTGCGAGTGTGTGTGAGGACATGTGAGTATGTGGGCATGTGAGTGTGTGTGAGAGTGTGAGTGCGTGAGTGTGTGAGAGCGTGAGTGTGTGAGAATGTGAGTGTGTGCGGGTGAGAGGAGGTGTGGGCGTGTGTGCATGTGTGTGTGAGTGTGCACAAGTCTGTGAGCATGTGGGTGATTGTGTGTGAGGGTGCGATGAGAGGCCTCTGTCCCCAGCTGGGCTGGTGGAGGGCTGGCCGTCATGACGGTGGCCGGGCTGGCCTTGGTGAGCACCACCGGGGAGCGTGAGGAAACCCCTGGCGGTGATGTCGCTGTGCGCCATGTTTATTAGAGTGAGCTCATGTGCTGGCAGGTGCTGTGACATCTACTCTGTGTCGCACAGTCCTGCACGGATCCCACCCGTGGCTGCTGGCTCTGAGCAGCTTCAGAGCAGAGGACTTTCCTCCGGCTGAGGTGTGACCAGCTGCAGCCCCTGCCCTGAGCACCTGGAGGTCCGGCTAGGTGCAGGGGCCGCCCAGGGCTGTGACCTTCATATTGCTGGTTGCTCTTCCTGGCCACAGTGTGTGCTGTGTGCCTGAGTGTGTGAGAGTGTGAGTGTGTGAGAGTGTGAGTGTGTGCGGGTGAGAGGAGGTGTGGGCATGTGTGCATGTGTGTGTGAGTGTGCACAAGTCTGTGCTGAGTGCTCCTTGGAAAGAGCTGTTAGGAGGAGATTTATTACCCTCTTTTCACTGAAGAGAATACGGAGGGTCAGAGAAGTTGCCATAGTCACCCTGAGATGAAGCCTTGCTCTGACCCACAGGGGCTGGACATGAGGGGTTTCACTTTGAGCCCCTCCAGAGCCTGTGAGGTGGTCTCCAGGGTCCACGTGGAGCCACCCACTTCCTCAACAGGGCCGCTGTTTGGAGGTCCACAGGCACCCGGCTGTGTTTGTGTGTCTTCTCTGTTTAAGATTCTGAGTTGGTTGGTGTTCACGCCTGGAGAAAAGGACAAGCCCTGGTGAGGCTGCTGCTTGGGCCCCCTCCTGCCCGCCCCAGGCTCCAGAGCAAGGCACCCTTGAGGAACTGGGCCCCCAGCGTGGAATTAGGTACCTCGTGCCTCTGCCACAGGTCTGCCGGTCTGCTGTGGCCCCAGGGGGCGGGTGTGGAGGAGGAGATGGCCATGTCCATGTTGTCCATCTCATCAAAGGAGAAGGCAGCTAGGGTGTCTCTCCCAGAGACCTGTCAATCACCCTCTAAATCACCATCAGAGAGGGGACACAGGAAAATAATTATCTTTAAAAACCTAAGAAGGTTGGAAGTGGCGGCACACACATGTAATCCCAGCAACTTGGGAGGTTGAGGCAGGAGGATCACAAGTTCGAGGCCAGCCTCAGCAACTTTGTGAGACCTTGTCTCAAGATGAAAATAAAAAAGCTGAGGGTATAACTCAGTGACAGTGTGTCCCGGCTTTTAATCCTCAGTAGTCAAAACAAACAAACAGACCAAAAAAACCTAAGGATTTCTGTCCCCAAGAATGTCCTGGGTCAGCTCTGGAGCAGGCACACCACCAGAGTTTCCCCAACAGAAGGAATGCAAATAGGAGCCGGCCACTCCTCTGGGGGACTCCTGTCACTCCTCCATGTGCGCAGCCAACACACACATCCAGAGCAGGTGGTCTGCCCCATGTGGCTGCTGCTCTGAGGGTTCTGTGTGTGGGCGCCGAGGCCACAGTCGGGAGGGAGCTCGCTGAGACCGGCTGCTCCCCCCCACCCCGTGCCAGGAGGAGCTGGCTCTGCCTGCCTTCCACCTGCAGGGCCCAGCACCCCGTGACCACCTGTCTTTGCAGGAGACAGCAAGAGAGCCACAGCCCCCCGGGGCTCGCCCATCCACGCCTGGCTCCCCAGGGCTGCCTCTGCCGGCAGTGACCAGCGGCTCTCCGAGATCACACCCAGCCTGACTTCCCACGATCAGCCGGAGACGGTCCAAACCGCCATGGCTATCCTGAAAGACCTCCGGCAGCAGATCCAGGCCGGGCTGGAATTGGCCCGCAGCCCCAGGGACAGACCCAAGCTCAGACGCGCTAAAGCAGAGCTGCAGAGTCCAGCGGGGAGGCAGCAGCGGGACTCCCCCGGCTCCCGGGATGTGCAGGGCTCCTTCTCCAAGAGCTCTTGGGCCATGACAGAGGGGAAGTGCTCCTCTTTAGAGAGGCCCAGCAGTTCCTGCATCCAGCAGCCCTGGCACACCTTAGCCAAGTGGGAGTCCTACCCACAGAGGGCCTGGGTGGCCCAAGGACGAGACCCCCGTTTCCAGAGGTCAAGAAAAAACCCCGACAAGCTGGACACTTTCTCACGGCGGCCCTGGAGCACCTCTGGTGGACAGACCTGTCATCAGAGGGCCTGGGCGGCCTGTGAAGACTTGGAGCCCGCTGTCTCCAGACCCTGGAGCTCTCTGGAGAGGCCACACTCTGTCTCCCAACGGCCCTGGAGCAGCTCCTTTGTGCAAAGGACTGCCCCCCCCAGTAAGCTCAGAGACGCTGTCCCCCACTCTTTGGGAACCAAGCAGGCCTGGTCGAGGCCCAGCCAGGGCCACCCTCAGAACCTCTTGGGGAAGGAGCAAGATTCAAGCTCATCTGGGTCCTGCCCACGGCTCCGGGCGCCCCTGTGCCAGCCGCACAGCTCGGAGTCCTTACGGGACTTCATGCGCCAGAAGGCCCAGGCCCGGCGGCAGCAGGCCCTGGAACGCAAGGCCGTGGCTACGCGCACTCTGGAGCTGAGGAACCACAGGCTGCAGGAGGTCTACCGGAAGCAGAGGGAGGCGGTGCTGGGCAAGGCCGTCCCCATGGTCTCCCATACCAACCCTGGCATCGTCACCTTTGTGCCCAGTTCTGCGAGGTCCGGGGTACGTGCAGGAGGGGCAAGGGGGCACTCAGCTCAGCCTCTGAGCCTGAGGACCTCAGCTGCTTCCCTGGCCACCTGTGTCCACTGACATGTGTCCACTGGGGCTGTGGCACTGGGGCTGTGGCAGCTCCGGCTGCAGCAGCTTCGCCCTGACTCGTTAGGAAACCAGGGCATTCACAAGCCTTGCCCTGGGTGACTCCACAGAGGAGAGGCCCAGACCTGGGCACCTTTGTCTGGGGCTGGGGGCTGGGGGTGGAGCCCGATTCCCTGCTGCTGGGCTCCCGCAAGGCTGCGGGCTTCCAGCCCAAGTGTGCTCTGGGAGGACCGTGCTGCCTCCCTCCCAGCCCCTGAAGTGAGACCCCCCTGCAGGACTCTTCAGAATCTAGCCTGAGGCCTGGTGGAGGTTGGGGCCCAGATCTGAGGCCGAGACATGGGCTGTGGGGTCTTCTGCTGGGGGGCTCTAACTGCCCCTTCTTCTTTAGGGCCTGGAAGCCCCTGGGAACCTGGCATCTCCTGTGCTTCAGTGGAACAAGGTGACATCTGGCAAGGTGCTGGGGGCCCAGGAGGCTCCGGGCAGGTGGGTACGACGTGGGGGCTGCTGTTTCTGGGCATGGCTGTGGTGGCAGACAGGGCAAAGGACAAAGCCAGGGGCCCCCATGCTGCCATCATGGTGAAGCTCCTGGGACCTGTGCTCGGCTGCTGGGGCTCCAGTCCAGGGAGCAGCTGGTCACTCCAGTGTTTTCTCGGAGGTCAGAGGAGCATGTGGGACCCACATCGTCCATGCTCAAGGGCACAGCTCAGAGCCCTCTGACGGACAGCTGCTCTGGGACAGTCACCCCAGAGGAGACCACCCCCGGCTGTCACTCCACCCACTCTCCTGGGAGAGCAGCTCTTAGTTTACTCTGGCCATGGATTTGCCCCTAGCGACATTTCGTGATAACGGCTCCGTAAGGTAATGGCCCCGGCTTCTCACTGCATGTCAGGGCCTCACACCCACCTCGTTCAATGTGAAGCAGGGCTTCACACCATATTGCTCCGTCCACACCAATCGGCTTCCCTGTCCGTGGACACGGGGCTGCCCTGCCTTCCAGCTCCCGTGGCTAACCGCTGTGGCCATGGCTGCTGGGCCAGCTCACATACCTGCCTTTGTTCCTCCTGTGAGCACCTGCAGGCTTGAGCCCTGATCCCAAAAGACACAGTGCTAAACTCCATAGTTCCAAATGTTGAAATCCCAAAAGAGCAAAATCTTTAAAGTCTCTAAAATCACCAGTCTGAAAGATGTAAATCCTGAAAATACAATCCTGTAAAAAATAATTTAAAAATTATTTCAAAGACATATATTTTCAGAGGGGGATTTATTGGAGAAACATAAAAGCCTGACAGGACACTTGGTGGCAACTTACCGGATAAAGCAGTCAGTCACAATGTAGGTAATTACGCAAGCACGAGCACTCAGCTCTGCTAATGACGGTTACACGGGTTTTTCAGTTAGGAGCAGATGAACCGAATTCATAAAGACATGTCAAAATATGGCCCTGTGGTTGGTAATTGTGTATGCCCAGCTTTATAGCTTCAGTCATCTGGGAGCCAGGTGTGGTGGCCATACTTGTGATCCAGCTACTCAGGAAGCTGAGGCAGGAGGACCCCAAGTTCCAGGCTAGCCTGTGCAACTTAGCAAGGCCCTGTCTCAAAGTAAAAAGTGCTGGGTTGCGGCTCAGCGATGGAGCACTTGCCTAGCATGTACGAGGCCCTGGGTTCCATCCCCAGGACAGCAAGAAAATGACAAAAATCCTGTGGTCATCGGAAATATGGCGATGGACAACCTGTTTTGCTGCAATGGGTCACCACTGCACAGAGGGACCCCGGCAAGCTAGCTCTCGGGAAATTTTCTCTCACACAAGTGGACGTTGCCAAAGGTGCTGTTTGAACCTCTTTACCTGCATGCAAGAAGCTCAGGCACAGGCCGGCGTGGAGTGAGGCTCTCTGCTGGAGTCACAGTGGCACGAGGTACACAAAGCCAATCGGAATTCAGGAGTCTCAAGGGCTTTCTGTTCAGGACCCCAACACGAATGCAGATGAAATGCATCTCATAGCAAACTGCAAAAAATAATGCCGGCAATTTAAAATAGCGGGGAAAAAACTAAGAAAAGAGGCAAAAAAAAAAAAAAAAAAAAAAGCTAAACTAAATAGGAAATCTGATGTGTGAAAAAGTGCTTTCCAGGGAGGGGCTTGGCAGTTGGAGGAGGTGGTCCGCAGACCATGTTCCAGATCTTGCGTGGCGACGGGGCTGCCTTCTTCCCCTGTCTCCTGGGAGATGCTCATTTCCACACGGGGGTCCCAGCCCTCTGAGCTCTTGCTCGCCTCTGGAGGCACCCTGCCCCGGGCATCCAGGCCCCCCTCGTCCCTGTTCTGCCTGCTGACCATGGCAAGCAGGCTGATCCTCCGGAGCCGCCTGGCATGGGGATCGCCGTGTTCAGAATTCCAGCCTTCAGGATTTCAACATTCACGATCCTTTTAATCTTTCAGAGTTGAGATTGTAGACCTTAGGAATTTTGCTCTTTGGGGATTCAACATTAGGGGTCATGAGTTTGGAAGTATGACAGGCGCCCCACCCCTGAGCCCCAGCCCCAGCCCACCTGGTGGAACTGCGTGCAGAAAGCCCTCCTTCCCACACAGGCCAATGCACATTTTCTGGTCCCCCTCCCCTTTCTTTCTTGGTACTGGGCATTGAACCCAAGGGTGCTCTACCACTGAGCCACATCCCCAGCCCTTTTTATTTTTCGTTTTTGAGACAGGGTCTTGCTAAATTGCTTAGGGCCTTGCTAAGTTCCTGGGGTAGGCTTTGAACTCCCCATCCTCCTGCTTCAGCCTCCTGAGCTGCTGGGATCACAGGAGTGCACCCCTGCCTGGCTCGTTTCTTTTTTTCTTTTTTTTTTTAGATTTCTTTCTTTCTTTCTTTTTATGTGGAGCTGAGGATTGAACCCAGGGCCTCACGCATGCAAGGCAAGCGCCCCACCCCTGAGCCCCAGCCCCAGCCCGCCTGGCTCTTATCTTTGTTCCTGTTTGTTTTGTCTTCACCATCCTGTGCTTTACTCCAACCGGGGCACTCTCCACCCCTGAGCTGTTTGGGAGCCAGTGGGGACCTCTGCAGGCCCTCCCCACCCTGTTGGGGAGCCGGGGAGGGGGGCTTGCTTCTGGCTCTTGCCTGGGAAAGGCCCCCTGGGCTCTGCAGTGAGCCTCTGCCTGGCCCAGCCTCATTCTGGTCACCTGCCGTGGGTGGGCCCAGGTGGGCAGCTGGATCTGGCTGGAGGCTGGGCTCAGGGCTTCCCCTTGAGGTGCTGCAGCCAGGAGCACCCTGCCCTGTGTTTCCAGGGGACACTTTGGCAGCTGGTGTTGGGAGGGGCTCCAGGATGGCCCCAGTCCCCTTTCCTTGGCTGGACACCCTTCCTCGTGCCCTGGCTGCTCCTCTGGCTCCGTATCTGGTCTTTTCTGGACTACCTCCCTGAACTCAGGGCCCATGGTGCCCAGGGGTCTGCATATGTAAACCTTTAAACGGACACTGGTTCCAGGGAGAGAGGACTCAGCTCCACCCAGACCCTGTACCCTAGGGCAGTCCCTCCCTGGCTGCCTGTCAGGCTCCTGTGCCACATGGTGCTGTGGAGGTCTGTCCCACTGGTGGGGGGCTGTGGGTCCTCCTCACTCACTGTCTCCTTGCCCTTTGCTATTTCCACTTTTTAAAAAATGTGTCAAGCATAACAAAATTCACCATCTTAGCCAGGTTTTTAATTTTGTTTGTGGTTGTAGATGGACAGAATGCCTTTACTTATATGTTAATATTTATATGATGCTGAGGATCGAGCCCAGGGCCCCTCGCACGCTAGGCAAGTGCTCTGCCACGGAGCCCAGCCCCAGCCCTTAGCCATGTTTTGTGATCCTTAATCCATCTGGATTTTATTTTATGCTAAATTTATTTATAACTGAAGCAGGAAAGCAGAGGTCGTGCCCACGGAGGGGCCACGGTGTGACGTCTGACACCCAGGTGTGTCGCAGGAGGTTTCAGTCAGGCTTAACGACCTCTCGGCCATCTCCACTTTGGGCGGCTCCCGCAGCCCTTCCTCAGTGCGCAGAGCGGCATCCTCAGCTAGTCGCCCAGGGCGCCACGGCACACGGTGCCCTCGCGAGGCACCAGCGACACCCTTCCCCACCTCGTCCAAGTGTGTGGCCCCTGTGGCACTAGTAGGTCCACACTACCGTCCTGCCGTGGCCGCCGCCCCACGTGACAGACGCCCCAGGCCAGCCTGTCCCCGTCTACCCTTGGTTCTGTGTCTGGATTCCAGGATGCTGGCCCTCCCCTAAGTGGGGTCTGCCTTCATTACCTTCTGTGATGTCCAGCAGCCCAGCTTGGTGGCCCAAGCCCCACCACAGCTGCTGACACAATTTCCTGTTTCCTGCTGAGTAACGTGCCCCCGTCCTGCCCTGCCGTCCTGCCTCGTCTGCTGGTGGACACAGACACCACCGCGCCCGGGTATGGGAGTGGCGGCTCACAGTCCTCGATTCCTCTGCTTTCACCCAGCACGGGTTTTCTGCCACACGGTGGCAACATGGTGTTAAAGTCAGAGGCCTGTGGATGTCCCTGCCCCTCCCAGGCCACAGCCAGGCCCCCTTCTTTCTGTTAAACAGCCGCGGGCCAGCTGCCTGCGGAGGCCGGAGCCTCTCTGGCCTCTGTGACAGACAGGGCTCTGCTGAGCCACCGGTCACTCCTCCCTGCCGTTCTGCACACGGCCATTCTGCACATGCCAAGCGACGCAGCCCTGCGGGGGCTGAGCGCCTGCTCTTCTCTTCCGGCAGCTTCTGTCTGTGTTTGAACAGAGCCTGGGACCACACTGAGACCCTGGAGACCGGAACCGGCGCCCCACTGCTGCTGTCCACTGCTTCCTCCCTGGGCCCCCTGCACCTCCAGGACCTCTCCCAGGGGCTCTGCGTCTACCTGGACCCACAAGAGGCAGACCGGCTGGGCTCCTCGGGCCCCCTGCAATTCCAGTACAAGCAGGCCCGGCTGCAGGCCTTGGAGACCATGGCCAACGTGCTCAAGCAGCGCATCGACATCCTGACCACCAAGCTGCGTGGGGCAGAGGCCTCGGACACTGCCCTGGACTGGCCACCCGTGGGCCCCAGCTCAGCACCTGCTGCCCTCACACTCACTGCCACAGCCTGCCCCAGTGCCTTGATGCCCAACAGAGAAACAGGGACACCCCAGGACTGGGCTGGCCTGCAGGCCAAGCCCCTCATCCCCTCCTCCTGCTTCCTTAATGATGACCCAGAGCTGTGGAGCCCGAGCTGGGGGACACAAAGCGTAAGCCCAAGGGCCCGCCACCAGAGCCAGCCCCAAGGTACGACTGGGGCCTTGGGCCCAATGGCCAGTGAGTGGCCAGGAGGTCCCATGAGTGGGAGCACAGGACCCCATTACCAGGCGGTTTCCCCTCTGGAAGCAGGGAGAGGAGGCCATAGCTAGGCGTTGTCCAGGGTGGGCAGGGTAGAGTAGCTGCCCTCCTGGAGTGGCACATGATGTTGTTGCCCTCCCCGTCTTGTCTGAAGACAGGTTGAAGAAGGGGTGAGGCTGCTGCACTGCCCGTGTGCCCTCCACTCCCTGCCCTGCCTTTCTCCAGGGGCCTGAAGGCTAGGTGGGCACTGCAGCTCATTTAGGCCCACTGCGAAATGTGCCCGGGTACCCCTGCCAGGGCGTCCCTGTCCCCGCTAACCTGCAGCTCCTTGTCCTGCTGATTCCCTGCCATGACATGTGCCTCTTTCAAAGGTGTGGAACAGAGACTCTGGGAGCTGAAGAAGAGGCTGCAGAGAGATTCGGATTCCTTCAGGTCCCTTGGTGCCCCCTTAGGGAGGTAAGCCCAGAGAGCTCCCTTGGCAAGTGCCCCTGGAGCTGGTCGAGGGGCCAAGGCCAGGTAGCTGGGTGCAGCCAGGCTGGGCAGGGAGTGGCACAGCTCCCAGGATGTGGACCAAGTCATGCTGGCTCCGATGCTGGTCCGCGCCATGGGGTGGCTCTCTGGACAGCTCTGGCCAGGCAGCTGGCAGTGGGTCCCTAAGCCAAGCCCTGCCCTGGGCAGTCAAGAGCCCACAAACTCCCTTTGTGCTGCTCTGACCCTCGGGAGACACGTCACCTTGGCTCTTTTGTTGGCTGTTGGCAGTTGGCCTTGTCGGGGCCTCTGAGCAGGGCCTTCCTTCACTTGTCCAGGGCCCACACCCCACGTCTCAGTTCTAGGACCACTTGGACCTTTGCCCTTCTTCCACCCATCCCCAACTGTGGCCCGCAGCCTTCTCTAGGTCCAGGTCACAAGGTGCATTTGAAGTCCCATCTGTGGGGACATGGTACCTGCTCTGTGCCCCCAGACCCCCTCCCACTTAAGCTTAGGAGGGGTCCCTGCTGCCCCATTGAGTCCCAGGCTGCAGCAGGGCCAAGGAAGAAGCTTCAGTCCCTTGAGGGCCTTGAGGGGCCATCTGGTATGACATAGTTGGGTACAAGATGGCTGTGCCTGTGCATACCTCAGCTCTCCTCATGGCTATGGCCTCGAGACCTACCCCAGGGCCCATGGACCAGGTAGGGCCCCTTCTTCTGAAAACTGTCCTCTGCCACTCCAAAAAATCTCCCTTCACCCCTGGTTTGTCTTCAAACTGAACAAAGCCCCTGGTCAGGGGACCCCAGCCTGGCCTGAGCAGCCCCTCCCCAGGGAGCCCAGGACCCTGGATTCCAAAGCTAGAGCCACTACCAGAAAGACGGGGCTGCAGGCCGGGAGTTCTGGAGGAGGACGGCGGTGGCCTGGGCATCCTGCATGCCCCCTCAGCCAGAGTCCACCAGGAACACCCGGCCTCTGCCCAGTCCCCACAGCAGGGCTGTGTCACACCAGCGACCTTGGCAGCTAAGTCAGTGGGCCTGGGGGGCTGCCCCTGCACACCAGGAGGGCTGAGGATGTGGAGCAGCCGCCACCGGGGTGATGGGTGGGGCCACAGTCACCGAAAGGGTGCTGCTCCCCCAATTCCAAGGTGCTGCTGGGAAGAACCTGACGCCCCCTCCTGGTGAGCTGCCCATGGACAAGGGGCAGGTTAAGGTCCCAGCTCTGTCCCTTGACCTTGAGCAGTCTGCTCCCTACCCCCAGTGCTCTGGAAAGTGAGGGTGCTGAGGTACCCCAGCAGGGGTGATGCTGAGGTACCCTCCCCTGCCCTTTCCTATTGGGAGGGACCCTTCCCCCTGATGCCTGCTCTGCCCCCCCCCCCCCCCCCCCCCCGCCTCCTCGTCCCAGCCCCGCGGGGTGATGGGCTGGTGATGGCGGGTGGTTTGGGCTTGTATTCTCACGGAATCTTGAGGCCAGCAGGGGGCAGCAAAGGGGTGGCTTCTCCTCTGATACCGGCCCCTCCAGCTCCCCAAGCTGTTGAGAAGGGGGTGGGCTGGAACCCGAGCATAGAATTTTTGGAGAAATTAATTTCAGTGCCCCAGGCTCCAGGATGGACAAGCTAGGTCTGTCCTCAGGCGCTCAGACCCAGGCCCAGAAGGGTTGGCTGTTCCTAGCACAGCCACAAAGGGGCCAGAGGGTAGAGGAGTGGCCCAGACCCCTGCCCAGGGCAGGCACTGGGCACTGTGACCCCTGCCCCCTGCCCAGTCATCTGAGGAGAAACAGGAAGAGGCAGGAACCATATCTAGGATCTGTGCCTCAGAAGGCGCCCTGGGAGAGCGGGGATTAGGGACAGCTCAGTGGCCAGCTGGGCACTCCTGTCCCCCAAAGAGCACTGCCCACGATGTGCAGGGTGTGTATGGGACCACAGGCCTGCCACCTCCACAACACCGGGCCGCGCTCCCCTCCCTGGCTTGCCCTTCCCCTGGGAGCCCCAGGTTCACTGCGTCCAGGTGCTGGTCTGCTGCCCGGAGTCAGGCTGGCACTGTCTCCTTGGCCTCACGGGGACCCCAGTGCTCAATGGCCAGCGAGGGCTGAGACCATTGCCAGCATGCGCCCAGGGTGCCTTGTAGCCCTGTGGCCTCAACACACAGCCACCTGCCTCAGAGGCCTCGAACCAGGGCAGGGGCTGGCATGGGGTCACCACCTTATTCCTGCACGGGACTGGCCCACAGTCCATGTGAGATATACACCTGCTGACCCCTAGAGAAGGACGTGCCACACGCCGGTCTCCATGGCCACAGGTGTGGGCGAACTCTGTCACTGTGCCAGGGACAGATGGTGCCTGAGGAGCACCGGGCCAGCTGGGCTGTGCTCAACCACGCTCTCTCAGGCCACGCTCTGCACGTGCCACGTACACACTCACTGTGCCCCACACACTCTAATCCCAACAGCCGCGGCCAGCGCTCGAGGGCGTCCCTCCCCGCGTGGCCGCTGACCCCAGGAAGGCCCAGGGGCTCGCCTGGCTCCTAACCTTGGCACAGCTTGCTGGCTGCCTGAGGGAGGGCCGCTCTGAGGCCAGCGGGCCTGCCTCCTGGGTCTTGCCAGAGCACTCCTAGATGAACCCATCCCAGCCATGAGAATGGCTGGGCCTAGCATGAGGGGTCAGCGTTGATGGGTGGCCCCCGTCTGCCCTGGGCCTCATGGAAGTGCCCTTGTTAACCGGAAGAGGTGACTGGATGGCCACTCTGGCAAAGGGGGCCTCTGCCACGGTGCCTGGAGGTGGTCACCTGCGCTCCTGCTGGGTGCTGCAGACCCCGTGCCTTGCCCATGCTGGGGGCCAGGCACATGTGGTGCCACCATTGCACTGCAGGTCACAGGCCCCGGCCTTCCGAGGCTCTGGCCCTCCATCCCGCCCTGGACACACTGTGGTTCCGAGGGCCTTGGGAGCCCACATTCAGCCAAGTGAGGGGTTGCCTGCCAGGCCCCAGTCCCCTGTGCTGCCCCCAGCAGCCGGACCTCGCTCACGCCCACGCTTGTCTGCCTCCCAGGTCGCGCAGGGTGCCGGCACGGGACCCCACCTGCAGCTCCCTTTGTCTGGAGGACGTGCCGGTGGCCAGAGGGCCAGGCTTGGTAATGCCCTGGAGCACCCGGAGCTGCGGTAAGGGCGAGCCTGCAGACGGGTCCTAGGATAGCTGGCCGGGTGGCCAGGGGTGGCCACCAGGGACCCCCTCCACATCCTGTGGGGTGGGAGACCCTCTTCCATGAGGACAGCACCCACCCTTCAGCATTAAAGTGTTTTGGAGGCTTCCGGGCCACTGCCTGCTCTGTGCTCCTGTCACGCCTGCTGTGACCAGTGTCGGGCATGAGAGCCCAAGAGCTGGCTTCCTGGCCATGCTCCTGGGTCCCTGCGGGCAGCTTCCTGAGGCACCCAGCACTCAGCAATGAAAAGCTGGTGCCTAGGAGGGGGTTGGGGTGCCTGCCCCACACCCTGACTTGGTCCCAGCAGCAGCCGGGGCTGTGTGCTGGGAGCCCTCTGGCCCGCCTGGGCCAGGAAGGGCCGCGGGAGGCCTGGGCAGGTGGGGCCGCGTGCTGACTCCGAGCAGGCTTTCATGGCTGGTTGGCCCCTGACTTGCCTCAAAAGAACAGGGTTTGGACATGGTGGTGAAGCATGGTCATGTCTGCTGTGAGAGGCGGGCAGGCGGGCACAATCGGCCCTCAACCAGAGCAGTGGCGGCCACACCTCGCCCACCTTTTGGTTGGGCAGTGAGGCCTGTGAGGCCCAGTGGCCTGAGAAAGCCCCGGGCACAGCAGAGCCCCAGGCGTCCCCTGCAGGGCTAGTAACTGGGTGGAGGGGGTCTCAGACCCAGGCTCAGAGCCACCCCCACGGGCCAGACCCATCCCACTGAGGCTTCCCAGTGAGGTGGGAAGTGTGTCCTCTGTGGGCCTAGAGGACGTGCAGGCCCGTTCTTCTGTGGACTGGCGCAGGGCTGTGGAGAGTGTGTTGGCTGTGTGTGCTTGTGCAGGCCCTCGGCTCTGGGGGACCTCTCAGCCTGGGGCGGGGGCACCTGGTCCTCAGGCCAACGTTGCTAATGCTCCTGGGCTCCAAGTTTCCAAAGCTCCTTGTGGTCCCCAGGGTTACTGCTCCTCCATACTGTCCCCGAGCATCCTGGTGTCTGGCACCTACTGGCACCCGAGCCCTGCCCTCATGATGCTTGCATTTTGGGGACACAGGCATAAGAAGATGAGCCAGTCAGAACACACGGTGCCTGGGATTCTGGGCTTTGAGACCCAGGGGCAGAGAGCCGTGGACGGGGGTCCACAGCCAGGAGGACCCAGCCCACCTCCCACCTGTCTGGTCTATTTGGCTTCTCTAACAGAAAGTCCAAGGTGGGGTGATTTATGAGGAAACAGAACTTAGAGCCTCGTGTTCTGGAGGCCGGAGGTTAAGAGCAAGGTGCCAGCCTGTGAGGGCTTCCTTGCTGAGCTGTCCCGTGGCGGAGGAGAGCGGCCGAGAGGAGGAAGGGGCTGAACCCACCTTCCACGGTGGACACTCTCCTCGTTAATCCGTTCATGGGGGTGGAGTCCTGAGGACTGATCAGCTCCTAATGCTGCTGTCACAGCAATTAGATGTCAACATGAGTGTTGGAGGGGACATTCAAACCAGAGCATGGCCCCTCCTCTCCCCAGAGTGTGGCCTGAAGTGGCAGTGAGCTGCCCAGGAACCCAGGGGTAGGTCAGGACCAGCGCTCTGTCCAGCCTTTGCTGGATTTACATATTGTCCTCTCTAAGTGGCTGAACAGAGGTTGGCCTTTGTGTGAGGGTCAGGGGAAATTCCTGACCACAGTAGGTGGCCACTTCCTGGCCAGGATCTTCCAAGGGGTAAGATCAGGGTTAGGCCCATGAGCAAGTGGCCCCCTGACTCACGCCTCCACCTCATTCACCATGCCTGGGAAGAAGGTGTCGGCAGCCCTGTGGGTCACTTGGAGTCCCTCAGCTCTAGCTCTTACCATTGGAACCAAGACTGCCCGAGGGAACTTTCTAGACTCCCCCAGACCAGAGCTGTCTAATGGAACTTTGTAGACTCCAACCTCGACCTCGCTGCACAATAGAACCTCCTGCAAGGAGGGAGAACCTGTCAGCCACCAGCCTCACGTGACAGTCAAGCCCCTGGGATCTTGGAGTGTGACTGGAGAGTGGAATTTGACATCCTGTTTCCTTTAAGCTTAAATGTGAACAGCAGTTTGGCTGCCTCTGGCTCAGCTCCGAGATGCTGTGGGTCTCTGCCTGAGGGCAGGGCATCTTGCCAGCTCTTTGGGGGGCTGTGACCACTGGATCCAGGCCCCAGGACTGAGCTCATGCCCAATCGTCATGGTCATGCTGAGCAGCAGCAGCAGAAGTGCCAGTGTGGAGCCCTCACGAAGCCACCCCACTGATCCTCGGGTGACCAGGCACTGGGCAGTGGGTGGGGTGTGTTCTCCCAACTCCTTGCCCCCTGTCCAACAGCAGGAGATGGAGGTGGAGGCCGAGGTCATCCTCTGCTTACTGAGGGGGCTGTCCTGCTCAGGGACAGCTCACTTTCTCCTGGATCATGGTTCAGAGCTCAGAGGCATGCAGCCAAGTCTCCCCAGTGATTTATTAGGGGTATGGACATGGCCAGAGGTGACAGGAGCTGCCCCTCCCATGTGGCTGGGAGACCCCGGGGGACTGGGGCCTCTGAAGCTCCAGGTCCCTGCAGGAGGGTGGCTGGAGGTTGGACACCTTCTCTAGCTCCAGCTTCCCTTGGGGACCCCAGACAAAGGACATGAAATCTTCTTTTGCAAAGGAGTTGTAGCTCAGAGTAGACACCGACACCTAAACCAGAAGTTTGCAAGTGCCTTCACTGCATATTGTGGCCAGTTAGGGGGCCACTGGGGAGCATCCCACTTCCCACATGGTCCCTTTCTGCGGCTACGGCGATGCTCAGGAACTGGCATAACTGTTTGCGGCACTTCAACTGCTCCAGGTCTAAGAAGCCGAGCTGCAGTCTGCAGGAAGACCGTGTTCTCTGGGCAGGTGGCAGGGATCCCACCAGCAATGACGAGCTCATCGGCAGCCAGCAGGCGGGTTCCATCATCCAGACCAGAGGGTCTGAGCCCAGGACTGGGCTGGCTGTCCCATGGCCTCTGCCAGCTCTCGCCAGGACCCAGGCCCATGGCAAGGCAGGGGCAGACTGTGGGAAGCCCAAGTGGGACTCCTCCTGGCTGTGCCTCTGTGAGGCAGGAGCACCAATGGCACACAGTAGGGCTGGTCCCTGGGGACCACCAGAAAGAGAAAAGCGCCTCTGCTGCCTCTGGGGACTTCATAACCAAGGGGGAGGCCCACACTCTGGGACAATCTGGGAAATCCCAAGAAGAACCTAGGACTTGCCCCTGTGTTCGCACACCCTCCTGGTTGTCTTCATTGGCCTCTTGGGCATTGGTGGGGTCTTGTTTGTTTATGGAGGGTCTTTCCCACACTTTTCATTGGTGGTTGGGATCTGTTGTTACAGATTTGCACCTGCACACAGCACACAACAGAACAGTACAATGTGGTCAGTATCACCCCCCAGCACTTCCCCCTCCCTCCCTGCGTCCCACCCCGTGGTCCCTCCCCTCCACTGATTTCCTTGGCTTTTCATGAGATCCGCTCCATCTTCCACTTCCTCCACATGGTGGGTCTGGGCTAGTCTTCTGAGGACCCTCCACAATGATTTCCATAGTGATTGAACTAATTTACAATCCCCACCAACAGGGTAAAAGAATTTCTTTTCCTCCTCCTCCTCTTGCATTGGTTCTTGCTTGTATTCTTGATGACGGTTATTCTGACTAGAGTGAGATGGAATCTCTGTAGCTCTGATTTGCACTTCCCTAATGGCTAATGATGTTGAAAAAATGTTCAACATCATCAGCAATTATTGGTCATTGGTATTTCTTTTTTTGAGAGTGTCTGTTTGATTCGTTTGCCCATTTATTAATTGGGTTATTTGGGGGTTTTGGTGTAAAGTTTTTTGAGCTCTTTATATAATATGAATATTAATCCTCTGTCAGAAGAGCAGCTAAGAAAGATTTTCTCCCATTCTGTGGGTTCTCTCTTCACGTTCCTGTTTCCTTGGCTGTGCAGAAGATTTTTAATTTGATGCCATCCCATCTATTAACTCTGGCATCATTTCCTGAGCTGAGGGGTCCTATGGAGAAGCCGTTGCCTGTGCCTAAATGCTGGAATGTTGCTACATTTTCTTCCAGGAGTTGCATGGTTTCTGGTCTGATTCCCAGGTCTTTGATCCATTTTGAGTTGACTTTTGCACAGAGTTAGAGACAAGGGTCTATTCTCATTCTTCTCCATATGGACACTGTTGGGCATTGTTGTACCATCTTGGGGCCTCGTGCCAGGGAAGTAGAGAGCTCCGTGGCCCCACAAGGTTCCTGGCAGTGATTTGAGATTCCCCAGCAAGTGCTTGACCCAGGTCTGTCTGGTAGCTCCTATGGTCTCTGCAAATGGCCTGTTGGGCATTTGTGGGGTTTTGTTTGTTTGTTGAGGGGTTTTTTGTTTGTCATTGGAGGGAATTATGGTCGGGGTTAGGCAGAGCCAGCCTGGGGGACAGACGGTGCCGCAGTTGTCTGTGTCCTCCTGTGGGGCTGTGAGGAAGGAAGAAGGAGCTCTTCTTCATGGGGTCGATGCCAACCAGCCCCTGGAGTTGGGCACCTGCCCTCCTGGCCTCTGTACCTCAGTTTCCCTACAGGTTGAGAGGCTGCCGTGGAGCACTGAGGCTGCCCAGAGGAGAAAGAGGCCAAGAGCGTTCCCTGGTGCTCAGCTGCCCCCTCCTCCATGGTCCACAGGTCAGCAGGAGCCTGGGGGCCTGCATGCTGGAGACCCACATAGCGGGCACCTGGCTGACTTGGAGCAGAAGGCCTCAAGCTTTCTTGAGTCACGGAAGGTATGTCCCACCCCCATGATGTCAGCCGAATGACAATGTGTCCCCTTAGGCCTCTCCTGTTTGGGGATAAGCTAGAACCAGCCTTTGTCCCTGTGCTGAGCAGAATTGTAGGACTTAGAAACAGGGAGGTCCTCTGTTACCTGCCATGCGCCCAGTGCCAGGGAATGGGGCTTGGCGGTGGGGGGAGACAGGCTGACCAGGGTGCCTGGCCTTCCCAGGCCAGGATGGGGAGGGCAGTCGGGTTGTCTGGAGGCACAGGCCCTGCCCAGGCTTGGGAGCCGCAGGGGTGATCCTCTGAGGACGAGTCCAGTCCTCAGCGGGGCGTGGCCTGCCCAGGAACCCTAAGGCCTGGGCTCTCATGCAGCTGAACGAGCAGAAGCAGGCGCAGGGACTGGCCCTTCTGCAGCAGCAGGCAGAACATGAAGTCTGGGAGACGCAGATGGCCCTGGACGAGCTGCTCTTCAAACACCAGCTCAAGGTGGGCAGCCACCCCTCCCTGGTCCCCTGTGCTGCCCCTGCAATCCCAGCCCAAGGCCCTTCTAAACCAGATGCCGCTCTTGGTGCAGGGCCACGGGCTGAGTAGAGAGAGACACTGACTGGGAACCGGGGCCCTGCCTTTGCCCACGGTGCTGCAGAGGCGGGGGGCTCAGCTGAGAACCACACACCTGGCCACTTGGGTCCTGGGCGCCTACACTGAGGGGACCGTGGTGGGACCACAGCTGGGTCACAGATGGACACCCAGCCACCCACCTGTCCACGTTCCGGGATTGCTAGGCACTCAGGGCAAGGGCTCCCTGCTGGAGCCCAGAGTTCATGACCTGAGGTGTGTGCCGTGTGCAAACCCCAAGCAGGACTCTCAGGAGAAGGCAGGGACTCTGGCAGCCATCCACCCCAGACTCACGTCACCCCACCAGACAGGCAGCACTCGTAGCCCAGGCAGCTCAGCACCTGCCCTGTGAAAGGGAAGCTGGTACTCAGGCCAGTGGGACACTGACCCAGCCCATGGCCATGACCTGGCTGGATGTGACAGCCTTCCAGGAAGCGGCTCATTCTTGGCTGTCAGTGTCCAGGGACTGTTAGTGGGAGGCACGCTCAGTACTTTTGGGGGGGGGGGTTCCAGGAAGAGTAGCAGAACCAGAGGTGTGTGCACGTGGGTGTAAGTTTGCACAGGCACCTGGCCCTGTTCCCTCTGCCCATTCTCCTTCCTGTCCCCTCGTCACACCTCCTCCTCCCTCCTCTGCACTCTGGCATCACAGTCACAGGGTTCAGGGCCAGTTCCCTCCTGGTCCACAGAGCCTGGTGCCACGCCCCAGACCCACCCCTTTGGCTGTGGCTGCCCCCCCCCCAGCCCTGGTCTTGCTCTGCATCTGCTGAGCACGCCACTCCTCCACCCCTATGGGGACAGGAGAAGGCTGGACCTCCACTGGAGGATGGACAAGCAGGCCGTGAGGTCATGGACATGCGAGGTTGTGGCTCTGGGGCCTGACCTGGCCACTGCACCCCCTCCCTGTCCTCACAGGGGCTGATGGAGAAAGACTCAGCCCAGCCCAGGCCAGGGACGGCTTCAAAGCTGGAGCAGATGCAGATCTCTGGGGACTCAGAGCCACAGACATTATCTGGCCCAGCCTCGCCCTCAACCAGGTGAGGCTGAGGCTCGGACAGTGCCCCTCCCAACCTGTGGGACGGGGCAGGGCACCCACTGCAGGTCTGGTGCTGATGACTCTCATCTCTGCTGCGTTTTCTCACCTGACAGAGCACCCTCAACCCTGGGTGGAGATGCCGCCCTGGGCCCCCAGGTGCCTGAGGAAGGACAAGCCAGTGGGGCAGGCCAGGAAGCTTCTGCAGGTGAGTGTCCTGCATGACCTGCGCAGGTGCCCAGGTGGCCTGGCAAAGCCTGGGGAGAGCTAAGAGCTCTCACTGCACCTGAGGGTGCTCTGTCAGGTGAGAAAACGCAGCAGAGACGTGACGGGGTCTGTCCGGTTCTCCTGGCAGTTCTAGTGGTTTAGCACATAAACACTCAGGGTTGCTGGTGTCCCCTCCCCACAGGAGACCCCTCCTCATCCCCAAGGCCTCTGCCCCGAAGCCTGCAGCGACATGAGGGGCCCTGGGCTTTAGCTAGGCCTGGGTCCTCCTTCCCACCCCTCACCTTGAATCTGCTGCCCGGCTTTGCGAGTGCTTCCTGCGGGCAGCGGACTCACACCCTGCCTTCTGTAAACGCGGCCCTGCTTCCTCTCCCACCGAGGAAGTGACCACCCACCTCCTTAGCTCTGGTTCCCATCCTGCTGCCTGTCTTGCGCGGGCTGTCTGTCCTTCACTTTCTTCTCTGGTGTTTCTGCCTCCTTTTGCATTAAACAGTGTTTTCAAAATCATTCCATTTCGTCTCTCCTGTTGGCTTGTGAGCTGTAGCTCCCTGCTACTTGAGTGCTGGTTTGGGGAACAATGGGACACCTGCTCTGCCTGCGGGTGACGACGTTCCTCCACCTCGCCACAGCCAGGGCTCTCGCTGCAGTTCAGGCTGGGAGTGGCAAACATTTCATCCACATCTCCAACGCCACAGCGCATTGCTGTTATCTCATTTACAGTTGATGACCCTGTTGTGGGTTTTGAATCGCAGTTGTCCTGTTGGTCTCCGGTGTCCCCATTCCTTGGCGTGGGTCTGGATGTCTACCCGCTGTTACTTTCCTTCTGCCTGAAAGGAAACCATCTCTGGCAGTGAGGTCGACAGGGACAACGTGTGACACTTTTGTTGTGGCTCGGGATTTGTCCGATGGTCTGCTGTCCGTGGAGTCGGGTGCACATCTTTTTCTCAGTACTTTGAAGACATTGCCTGGGGCTGGAGGTGCAGCTCACTGGTGGAGCCCTGGGCAGCCTCGGCTTCCTCCCCAGCACTGGGGGGCAGGACGCGGCCTATTGTCCTTGGCGCCTTTGCTGGGCTGAAGGTGACTACTTCTGCTTCTCCTCTGCCACTACGTCTGTTGAGGTCTTGAGCACTTGGGTGGCGATGTGCTTTGTGTGGTTCTCCTCATGTTCCTTGTGCCAGGCGTGTATTGAGACTCTTGGACCCAGGCGAAAACCTGCAGTTCTGCTTTTCAAATGCTTCTCCTGATCCCTCCACTCCTCTCCCTAAGGCCTGCGTCCTTGGTGTCCATCTGCCTGGACCCCACCGAGGGCTCTGACCACAGCTATTGTTTCTGTCTCTAAAAGCCTCCTTGAGGGACTGGGGCTGGGGCTCAGTGGTGGAGCGCTTGCCTCGCACATCTGGGGCCCTGGGTTCCATCCTCAGCACCACATATAAATAAACAATTAAAAAAACAGAGGTACTGTGTCCATCTATAACTACAAAAAAACATTTTAAAAAAGTAAAAGCTTCCTTTGAAAATTTTCTTTTTTCATGACCTCCTTGATTCCACTTAACTTTTTTTTTTTTTAGTTGTTGATAGACCTTTATTTATTCATGTGCGGTGCTGAGAATCAAACCCCGTACCTCACACGAGCCCCAGCCCCAGCCCTCCACTTAACTTTTTAGACATATGCACTATGTCTACTCTCTGCCAGTCCAACACTGGCAAGCCCGGGCCAGGTTTGGCTGTGCCCCTGCTGCATGGCTTACTGCTGGACACCACGCATGCTTCCTTGTGGGGTCTAGGTGTTCTGTGTTCCTCGCATTTTCAGAAGCTTTGCTCTGGAATGCAGTTGTCTGAACTACTCTGAGCCTCTCAGGCCTTGCGTTCATAATTAATGAGGCAATCCCGGATCCGTGCTCAGCCTGGAGCTGGTTATTCCTACAACCAAGGCCAAAAAGTTCTGTCTGCCCAGTGAGCCCAGGTGTCACCAGCGCCTTGCCTGACTGGTCTCAGTCTCCTGGTCCTCCTGAATGCCTTGGCCTGTGGTTGATGCTGCTTTTATTTTTATTTCATTTTTGGTGCTGGGGACCAAATTCAGGCCTTGCACAGGCTAGGCAAGCGCTCCACCACTAGCTGCGCCTCAGCCTGGCTGCTTCTTGACCCCCGAGGTTTTCCCCTCGCAGTCTATCCCACCAACGGCAGCCGCTGGTCTCTCCAGGGTCAGCTCCACCCCTCTGCTCAGGTGTCCCGCCAGCTGGGTTCCCTCCCTGCAGCTTGGAAACTCCCAGGGCTTACGATGTGACAATGGAGGCCTTGCCACCTGTTTTCTACCAGTGGTCACTGTGCTCCGCTGTCGGATACTCAGCGCATGGAACACGGTCCTCTCACGTGTGTGTGTGAACAAGCATAACGTGTAGACTTTTTTGGTTGTTTCAGATGGAATGGTAAATCCAAAACCTGATCCCATGTCTCCTGATGGGAAGCAAGAATCCCTAATGATCTTTTCAAAGTAGAGGGAGGGTCCTTTCTCTGCCATCCCCAGCACAGCAGGATGGCCAGCACAGGTCAGCAGCCAGGCAGCTCCTTAAGCCAGGAACCTCTGCTGGGGCTGGACCTGGGAGCCATCCCCCTCTGGCCTCAGTGTCCCCTTCTGTGGAAGCAAGGCACCTGGGCTGTCATCTCTCTGCTCTTCAACTTTTGGTCTGATCTTTCCCTCAATTGGGGGGTCAAACCCCAGAACTTCACATCAGGAAAAGCTGGCCACGGCTTCCTTCTGTGGCCCTATGAGATGCTGGTGAAGTTGCAAGTTGGGGTGGGTGGGCCACCCAACTGCCCAGTCTACCTTTGGGAGGCCCTCCTGTAGGAAGGCCCTGGACAGGGCACTGACCCAGCCACTGCCTGCTCTCTCTCAGAGGTGGGGAAGCCGGACCCAGCCCCCTCCCAGCTGCCTATGACCAGGCTTTGCCCTCTGGACAGCCCTACCCACCAGGTACAGGGAGAGTGGGGGTGAGGGGCACGGGCAGGGAACATCAGTGCACTGGGGTCTACACTGGGCCCTGCCGGTGGGTTCACCCTGCCATCACATCACCCACCCTTCCAGCTGACAGCCTCCCCGGCCGGGGCCCTCCACCCTGGGTGACAGGTGGGGACAGGCCTTGCAACAGCGTGCTTCCCCACCCAGCTTGCACATTTCAGGGCAGGTGGCTGTGCTTTCTGGAACCCTCTAGAGCACAAACAAATGCACCTGCACCGCCTGGATCAGGGCCAGGCACGTGGCCACGATGATGACCCCACCTGCCCTCAGAGAGCTCACAGTGGGGAGGGGCACCTCTCAGGGTAGAGGGGCATGGCAACGGGATGAGCACGGCAGCCAGTCCCGGAGGGCTTCCCGGAGGCGGTGGCCTCCTCCCCAGGGATAGGCACCGCTCCTGGAGACCGGTCTAGATGCTTGACGGTGACGTGGCTGCGTCGATCTGCCTCGCCCAGCCGAACGTTTTGAGGCCCGGAAGTGCCCATGCCACAGCTTCCAGACCATTCAGCCCCTTCACCGTCGGGATGCTGGAGCAGAGCCTGCAGGAGGAGAAGCTGTGCCCACAGCACCAGGCCGAGTTGCAGCGCCTACGCGAGATGGCCCTCGAGGAGAAGGAGCGCGCCCAGCTGGCTTGCATGAAGCACGAGTTAGGGTGAGCGCCTGCTTGGCTGGCCCAGCCCCGAAACCCCGCCCAGCAGGTCCCGCCCTCGGGTTGACCCCGCCTTCCCGGGGGCCCCGCCCTCATCGTGGCCCCGCCTGGTCCAGCTGGCAGAAGGGGAACACTGCGCACGTGTTAGGTAAGGCAGTAAAGCACCCCAAACAAGAGAGACGGGAATACCCCTCGCAGCCCGCCTGGGAGACGGCCTGTGCCTGTTTTCAAGTGACCCTTGTCTGGTGTTGCTGAGGGAAACGCGTGGCCACAGAAACACTGGACTTAAGCTGCACATACAGACTGTGAGCGGAGTTTTCATCTGAGATGTCAAATCACCAGGTGATTCTTCAACACGCAGGGGGACTGCTTCCAGAGCTGTCTCTCCCTTGGCCGGTGCAGTTGCCGGGCCTTCCAGCTAGTCCACTTCTCCCTACTAAGGAACACCCGAGAGATGATGTTCTTAAGGAGCGTTCTTAGAAGTGGCACAGCCTTGTGCCAAAAGTGGTGGCTCACACCTGTAATCCCAGCAGCTCAGGAGGATAAGGGAGGCGGAGGCAGGAGGATCGTGAGTTCAAAGCCAGCCTCAGCAAAAGCGAGGCTCTAAGCAACTCAGTGAGACCCTGTCTAAATAAAATACCAAAAAAAAGGGGGGGGGGAAGGGGCTGGGGATGTTGTTCAGTGGCCGTACCTGAGTTCAAGGCCCTGTGCCCTTCCTCAAAAAAGAAGCGGCACAGCCTCCTCAGCAAGCATGTATTCAGAAGCCTCTTGACATTGCCCCCAGTGGAGGCCTGCCTCCCTTTGCCGAGAAGTACCAGCCTGTGCTGGGTTCCCAGGTGGGAGGTGCTGCCATTGGCCAGCCTCTGTATCTTAGACCCCAAAGAGGTAGTGAGGGGTGGGAAAAGTAACAGCCTGGACTACCCCAGACCCTCACACCTGCCGTGCACAACTACTTGTCCCAGCATCTGGTCTGCAAAAGGGCATACGGGTGCACTTGGCCACCCTGGGCTGGCCCCGTCTGTGGCTTTGGATGTCCACTTGCACAGATCCTCCAGATTGGGGCACTCTTCTCCCAGGTGTCTGGCTTTGAGAAAGCGGCCCCAGGCAGTGCAGAAAACCCTGTTGGAGAGGCCGCAGCGAGCCTTCAGCAGGCGTGAGAAAGAGCAGGTATGGCCCGGACGGGGTAACACAGAGGTGTCCTGCCCCTCGGGGCTGGGGACGGGACCACCCAACACCACAGCTGGGGCACCTTCCGTGGTGCCCCAGAGAGTCCATAGCTTGAGGGGCAACAAGGCCGAAACGGAGCAGGCCCCTATGCTGGCTCCAGGCCAGCCACAGCCTCCTGCTGGTGTGGCCTTGGGCAAGTGGCCCTGCATCTCAAGGCCTCAGTTTCCCACCTGAACAGTAGTGTCTCTTTCCTGGAGCTTGGGAAGGTTTAATAAAGGGGCAGCGCCCAGAATCCAGGAAGAGGGAGGCTGAGCCCTCTGCTTCCCTCCTGCCTCTCGCTGGTGCCACCTTGGCCAAACTTGCAGCCAAGAAGCTGAGCAGGAAGGGTTGGCAAGGGGCGTGTGAGGGGGATGCAAGGCTGGCAGTGTGAGGACAGGGTGCCCCAGGTGCCCCTGGCCATTCCTGCCCCCTCCCTCCATGTGGGAGCTGCTGTGGGCTGGGATGCCTGCCTGACCTGTCCTCTTTGGCTGGTGCAGAGGGAAATCCAGCACTTGAGGGACTTTCACCTGTCCATGCACCAAGACAGGAAGCAGCTCGCACAGCATCAGAAGGCCGTCCTCACAGCGCAGAGCTCTGCCACCTGCCCTCGTCAGGAGCTGCGGTCACAGACCCAGCTGCCACAGGTGGGTGCTCTCATCTGGGTGCAGGATGCTTGTACCCTGGCTGTTTTGTGTGAGTGTGCAAGTCCCTTGTAAAAATGCTTGTCACTTCAGGTAGAAAGGGACTCCAGGGGTGAGGGTAGGAGGGACCTGCTAGGCATGCTCCCCCCCCCAGAAGGTTTCCTGGCAGAGGTGCCCTGGCTGTCCCTGCCTGAGGAGAGAGACTTCCAGTGGTCGTGGCTGGTACTCCAGGCCAAGGGCATGGAGAAAGGCCCCGGCAGAGGCAGGGAGCCATCAGGAAGGAGAGGAGGACGGGCTGAGGTGGAGGTGCCCGGGGCTTTCCTCAGTAGGGGCAGAGAACTAGAGTAGGCAGAGTAGGGGACCTCTATGGTCCAAGGAAGGAGAATATGGCCTGGGGCTCCTCAGGGAGGCCAGCCCCTGGGGACCTAGCAGCCACTGTGTCCTGGGGTGGAGGACTCCAGCTTCCCCTCCCCACTAGCTGACAGATTGGAATAGGCTGTGGCAAGGGGAAGGGGCTGCCCCTGGTTGAGCTAAGTGCTGTCCCCACCTGAGCATCTCCTCTCCACATTGGGGTGACTGAGGTCTTAAGGGTGGGGACCAGGACTGAATGAGTTAGGCTTTCTGAAGCCTCTGCCCCAGGCCGGCCTGCAGGACCATGGGCAGCCTGATTCCAGGGTTCACTGGAGGTGCCTCTGGCCAGCCTTGGGCAAGGGCACCCACTCTGAGGCTCCTTTCTGCACCTGTCAGTGGGCTCCACGGTGCTGTGTGCTGTCCTGCTGTGGCTGCTGCTACATGTGCCTACCTCCTGCTCTCCCAGGAGGACATGGGTGGCCACATGAGGCTCACTCTGCTCTTTCCTAGAATTCCAGCCCTGAAGTCAAGGCCACCGTAGAGAAGGGTTCTGAGCCTAGGCAACCACTGGAGGGAGACCTCTGCCCGCTGACAGCACCCAGGCCTCACAGTCCCACCAGCCAATGTCCCCAGAGAAACCCTGAATGCTCGAAAGTCTCACAGTGAGTTGGTCCCAGGAGGCCCTGGCTCTGACACTTGCCATTAAAGGCCCGTGAATGTTTGCTTGCTGCCACTGGGCCTACCTCACTCAGCCCCCCAGGGTGGGTGAGGGGCATCGAGGGCACCAGGGAGCCTGCTCCTGCTGGCTGCCCAGAGCTGCCCTGGCTCCAGGGGAGGAGCAGCAGCAGCCGTGCTTTCCTGGCTCTGGCTGGCAGTGGGGCCTTCCAGGGCTGCCGTGGGGGGACAGAGAAGGTGGATGGCCTACTGGGGCAGTAGATAGCACCGTGTGGCAGCCTGTGCCTCTGGACACCCTCCTAGGGCTGCTGTGCTCTGTGGCCAGTGATGGCCAGGCCCTCTCTGAGCATGGCCACACAGCCACTTGGTTTGCAGTGGGAGACAAGGACTTCTGCCCGTGCTGAGTCTTGGTGGGGTCTGATGACCAGTGCTTCCTGACCTAGGGCTGGCCATGGGCAGTGCTTTTCCCAGCACGAGCTTCCTGGCTTCTCCATGCTAGAAATGCTCTGCCTCCTTCCCAGGTTAAAGTTTCCCTGGACTCAGGGAGGCCCTCTCCCCTGCACTTCCGCCCCCAGGGCCAGCGACCCTGGACTCTAGTGGCAAAACCCACCTTCCAAGCAGCAACCTTGTGAGTGGGGTAGACACGGAGGGAGACCCCCACTCCAGGAGGGGCTACTCCCAGGGGCAGCCTTCTCAGGGATGCACTTGGCCACCACCCAGTAGCTATCTCCAGCCTGGGGACCTCCCCCAGCTTAGGAAGCCATTGCTCACCCAGTCGTCCGCTCCAGGGGCTTCCTTCTAGGACACTTTGCAGCAGGAACAGCCGGGTAATCCCAGTGCTATCAGTCACAAGTCCTGGGAATCTGCAAATGCGACCAGGCGGACTCCACCGCTTGGCCCCCGGGGTCTGGAGGGCTGGAGGAGGGCTGCCAGCATCCACATGGCTCTGGACCCTGAGGCCAGGCTGAGCCCGTCCTTCGGGCTTCCCTCATCCCAGCAGTGAAGCTAGTCGCTGTTTGAGAGTCAGACAGAGGGAAAGGAGGCTCAGGAAAAGCCCAGCCCAGAGCAGGTGGTGGTGCCGGGAGACAGGCACGCCGGGTTCCTGTGTCTGACTGTGAGTGTTGGGGGTTGGGTGCATCCGTGAGCAAGTGTCTGTGACCCTGAGTCCCTGAGGAGCGAGAGAGAGGCAAGGACAAGGGGATGAGGGATTACAGGTCCTGTCCTGAGAGCCCGGCTGGCTGCTGGAAGGGTTTTGGGGGAGGTGCCTCTGGAAGGGCCTGTTTCCATTCCATCCAGGTCAGCTTCCATGCCTGCCCTGAGGACAGGTGGACAGGGACCCTAGAGGCCCCACCTCCCTGGGCAGCCAGCATCAAGCATCTCTGGCTGATCACCACCCTCCACAAACCCATCTGGTCCTGCCCTCCTCCTGCCCAAGTGTGAATCTGGGAGGGAGACTCTCAGGGCCACCTTGGGTGGGGGCTGTGAGCTGTGCAGGTTCCTGTGGGGACAAGGGCAGCAGATGTATTGCCAGGGGCACTGAGAGAGCAGCAGAATGTTCCAGAGCAGGCTTGCCTCCTTGTTCTTAACCAGAAGGATTCTGGAGACCTGGCATCCCTCCCCTCTTGCTGCCTGAGGCTGTGCCAGGTCAGGCTCTTGCTGCCCTGTCAGTGTGGCTTAGGCAGGTAGGATGGGTGCCCAGTGCCTGGCAGCAGGCATGGATGTACTCTGTGCCTCCCAGGATCCAGACAGAGCCCACTGTGCACCCACCGGTGCTGACCCAGAGACAGGTGGTTGGTTTCCATTGCAGTAATCTTGATGGACCTTCTGCTGGGGAGGAAGACAGACATTTTCCCAGCCACATCCCAGCACCATACCCCACTGCAGAAGCCCCATATGTGGGCAAGAGGCTCTGCTTGGAAAGCTTCTGGGTAGGGAGGGACCAGCCCCTGCCTTCCACGTAGCCGCTGGCCATAGCTGCCCCTAGATGTGGCAGGAGGTTGTTCCTGGGACAGGGACTTGCTGTGGTGTGGGTGGGCATGGTGGGTGGGAGCAGCCAGGGTGGGCAGTCACCTCTGCCCTCTGTTGTCTTTCAGGCCTCCCTCTGTGCAGCTGGAGGAGGCACCCCCTGGGACACCTTCCCATGCTAATGGTCACCTGCAGCCTCCAAGGTCTGCATGGGGAGAGGTCACGCCTGAAGCCAGCCACCCACTGGTGGAGAGTGGCAGCCAAATGGACCAAGGTAGCTGGGCATGGCAGCAGCAGTGGCCAGCTGAGGACAAAGGGTCACGGGCTCACTGGGCTCCACATCTTGGGAGCTGCATTAGCTTGGGGTCAGACAGACCTACATTCTGCCCACCAGGCTGGGTGTGTGGCTAGCAGAGTGCATTGTGGGCTTGCCTGCAGGAGGCCACCCCATGCTACACTTCAAGACAGGGCGTTGGGTGCCAGCAGAGGGATGCCCGAACAGGCTCTCCTGCTTGCAGAAGGCTTCTGACAGGAGCAGCTGCTTAGAGCTCCTAGGCTTGCCCCCAGTGCAGGCCTGAGACTTGCCAGGCAGGGCCAGGTACAGTGACCAGCCAGGGGCAGCAGCAATGTCCAGCTTCAGGCGAGGGTAGAGAGAGGGCCAAGCCTGGCAGGAGCCATCTTTCCTGCTCAGAACTGAGCCTCCAGGCAGGAACATGGCAGGGCATGGGTTGGCCTGTTTGCTGTTGGTTCCTCCAGAAGAAGTTCCTCTGTCCCAATGCACCAGTTCTGAGGGCAGCTGGCATGGCCACCTAGCCTGTGCCCCATCTGTACTTACACATCCTTCCCCTCCTGGGCCTCAGCCTCCCGCTCTGGACAATGAGCTGCCATGACAGAGTTCCACAGCTAGGTGGCTTGAACAATAGGGCTGTTTTCTGGAGGCCAGAGATCCGAAGTCTGCGCTGCTTCCAGAAGTTCCCGGGGAGGGTCCTTCCTGCCTCTTCCAGCTCCTGCTGGCTCCAGATGTCCCTGGGTTTGCAGCCGAGTCACTCCAGCCTCTGCCTCCGACTTCCCATGGCCTTTTTTCTGTGTCTCTTTTCTCCCATGTCGTTTTTTGCTCCTCAGTGTCTATCTCCTCTCTTTTCTCTCTTTTAAGAGTATCAGCCATTGGATTTAGGGCCACCCTAACTCCTGCACGATCTCATCTAGGGATCCCTAATTGTATCTGCAAAGACCTTATTTTCAAATAACTTCCCATTCCTAAGTTCTGTAGGTTAAGACTCGGACACATCTTTCGAGACACAATCCTGCCTTCTGCAGGTGGCCTCCGAGGGCCCTTTCTGCCTTAGGCAAGGCCTTTGAAAGGGATGGTGTCTCCCCTCGCTCCAAATGGCAAGCGTGGGGCCCCCACCCTCCTTGCTGGCTCTGGCTCTCCAGTTTCTCGCATTCCTCTAGCTAGAGTGCTGGTCTCAAAGCAGTGACCCAGGTTTATACAAACCCTAGAAAGCAAATGGACATGGGCGTGTGGGTGGTGAATTGCAGAGGGGCATGGGGCCCAGCTCACGGGAATCCTCAGGCCCAGCGTGGCCTCTGGGCAATGTCTTGGAACCCCAGGGTGCCCTGGCACACAGTCTGGAGGGGTGCTGGTGAAGCCGGTGCCTCTGGGACATTGGAATCTATGGGCAGAGGGATGGGAAGAGGTTTGGGAAGAGGAGAGGGGAGTCAGTTTTGTGATTGGGGGAGACGAAGGTGCAAGGGAAAACCTTTAGGAGCAGCCCTGACGTCCCTGGAGGTGGCAGCTAGTGCACAGAGCTCTGGGCTCCACAGAGGGACAAGCAGACAGGCAGCTGTGTCAAGCTTTCCCCAGCAGCTGGCTCTGCTCATCTCCAGGTCTGGGGCTCCCTGCAGGCCATCCAAGGTCTGTGACTCTCAGGACTGTGTCTTCAGAGCCTGGGGAGCAGCCTCGTGTCCCCGTGCTGAACATTCTGAGCATCGGACGGCTGCCAGGCCCAGACTTTCCTGTATGAAATCCCAGGAAGCCTCTTCCCCATTTCCCCAGCCCTGCCTGCTTGGGGCCCCCATCCTGCCAGCCTGCAGCATGATTTTGGTTGGGATGCTGGATGCCCACGTGCCCTTGCCCCTGTGGTGCCAGTGGGCCTCTTGGCTCTCCCAGTCTTCGGCAGCTGCTCTCCCGGTGGCCTGCATCCCTGGCATCTCTGTCCTGTCCTTTAGATGCAGGCCGCAGAGGTGGAGGGGAGCACCCCCAGAGCTCAGCCCAGGCCACAGGAAGCAAAAGAGCCACCTGCAGGTAAGCCCCCTAGATAGAGTCTGTGGGCTGCCCCAGTGTGGATCCTGCCAGCAGCTTCCCTGCGTCCAGCAGATCCCGTCCAAGGCTGGCCCAGCAGCCAGGGAAGCCAGAGAGGCCCTCAAGGAAAGCCAGAGAGGAAGGGCCTGCTCTCAGATCCTTTCACAGCTGGAAGCCTGCTGCTCTGTGTCCTAAGGGAGATGTTGTGGCTCCCTGGGGCATTAAAAGTCATGACTGGCTCTGAGTGTCTTGTCACAACCTGGCTTATCTGGAACCATCTTTAAGGGTTTGGAAATCAGCCTCACCAGAAGCATCTCTGTTGCCTGACATGAGGGTTTTGCACGTGTCACATTCTTAGCTTTCTGGCCCAGGGCAGGAGGAGACCTGCTCTCGGCTCTGGCAGGGTGCCCTGGTGGAGTGTTCAGTGGCCCAGCTGGCCTTGGTGCCTGGGGTGGAACCCCAGAGACGCCCACTGCTGGGGTACAGCCTTTCCCAGAAGCTCTCTCAACGTCCACCCTCAGGATCAGGAAGGACACTATTTTCCCTGGCAAGTCTGCTGGACTGAGGGAGGCTCCCTGCATCCAGGGTTCAGGAGACAAAACCTCAGGACGGATCAGGTGGGATGGGAAGAGGTTAGACCAGCTGGACACCAGGTTGCCTCCGAGAAGTGTGCCTCTGGCAAAGCTGGAGGCATGGTAGGCATCCAGGGCGTTCCATGGCCGGCCCTGCTCTGCCAGCGTCAGGCCCAGGCCGGCTACCATCCTTCAACGTGTAACTTGCTTCAACGTGTTTGGCCTAAAGCCTCTGTCCAGGGGCATCACTGCCCTCTGCCCCCACACATGTCAGCCAGGTGTCCACACTCCCCTCAGGGACCGTGTTGCCTCTTGAGGTGAGCATGCTTGTCGTACCCACCCTGCAGAGAAGAAGACTGAGGCTCAGGGACGGGAGTGACTGGCCTGTGATCTGGAGCTTGTTGGTGGGTGGCCTGGGACTCGCCTTGGGGCTGCCTGACACGGCCTCTGCTGCTCGCTGGCCAGAAGACAGTCTGCAGGGTCTCCCTGGCTGACACCTGTCATGGTCGTTGGGAAGCCAGGGTCCTCCCTGCATGGTCCCCATGGACAAGAGCTTCGGGCACACAGCTCTGGCTCCCTTAAGGGCATCAGGGTCCCAGCACCCTGCTGAGGCCCAGGTAGAACTCAGGTCTAGGGAGATGATGATCATCCCAGAGAGGCTCTGCCGTGACTGCTCTGTCCCCACTTGGCTGGCCTTCCAGCTCTGCTACGGATGACCTGCCATGTCCAAGGCCCACCCCTGCCTGGCCTTTTGTGTCCCCCACCAGTGTCCAGCTGGGAGTGGGTGCTCCTCAGCTCAGCTCAGCATGGGTGGGGAGGAAACAGGGAAAGGAATGGGGTTTCCCAGGGGCCTGCAGGAGAGTCCCCCGAAGCGGGGAGTGAGCTCTCTAAATTTAAAACACATTTTCTATAAGCTTCTTTCTGGGACCTCTGTCACTAACTCTGCAAGAGGGTATTTTTAGCAGATCACCACGTGTTTTTATGTCCTCATGTTAACCAGACACCACAAGGAAGTCTTGTGTCCATTTCAAATATTCAGATTTTTTTTCATGTGGCTTCAGAATTCTTAGAAGTCACTCCCTCTGTCTCCCTGTCTGTGCCTGTTGGGGATGACAGTTCCTTTGTCCTCCAGGAGACTCTCAGACCAAGCCAAGGATCGCCTTAGCAGAAGAGAGTCCCCCAGCTCCAACAGACAGCCCCAGGTGGAACTTGGTGGAACAGAGTCAGCAGTCCCAGGGCGGAGAGGGCTCCTGCAGTCCCCAGGAAGCCAGAGTGAGTTGGGTGTGGTCCTGCAAGCCATAGGGGCCTGGCCCTGTGGGGTGGCCTTGCCATCACATGAGGTCTATGGGATGGGACCTCTGAAGCCCTTCTGGAAGGGTCAGGGTCCTGAGATTCATTGATTCTGTGGGCCTTGCTCCGAGACTCAATCCCTGGTCGGACAAAGTCTTTTCCGTGGTGGGAGGAGGGTGTCTGGTGAGCGGGGCTCTCAACAGCCCTCATTGGGGGAATGGCCTTTGCTCCACGTGGTCTCTGGAGGCGTGAAGGCTCCATCCACAGCCCAGGGTTGTGGCCAGTGCTCCAGCCGAGGCCACACCCAGACCTGTCATTTCTCTGACGTGTTTCTTGCAGGTGGCTGAGAGCAACACAAGTCAAGAGGGGGCAGAATTGGGGCTCACTGTGGCTGGGAGCCCTGTCGAGGAGCCCCAGGATGTGGAGAACTGGCAGCCAGGGGAGCAGAGGTGCGGGACCAGCAGGGTGGGGCTCTGAGCCCGGGTGACAGGGCTGGCCAGCATATTGCCCTCTGGTTGCTGACACCTCATGCCCAGCCATGAGACATCCTTCAGTTCACCTTCCTTTTTGAAAAAAAGATGGTGCCCAATGAATGGACCCCAGGTGCAGCTGGGGGGCAGCAGAGGGGCTCCCATGGGATCGTGTGTTCTCAGGGAGGAGTGCCACATCTCCTACCTGATTCAGTGGGGCTGGGGCCAGATGGCTCCCAAAGACAGGCCTCACCCCCAGGAGCCCTGTGTGCAGATGTTAAACATAGAGGTGGTAGATGGCTGGAGGGATGTTCCTGAGAGTATGGTAGAGTTGACTGACCTCCTGCAGGTCCCTGACCATGAGCCTGGGAACTAGGAGGACAGGACTCCCTCTGAGGGGTGCTCCAGGACTTCTCCACCAATGTGCTTACAGGGTAGAGGCCTGTTGGCAGGACCTGGGGGTCCCCTTTGCCTGGCTGGAGACTCCCCGACTGGCTGCCTTCCCAGGTGATGCCCCCATCCCCTCCAGGGACTCTCAATGTCAGCTCCAGGACTGTCAAGTCCCCACTTAAGGGTCATCCAAGAGCAGTTCCTCAATCAGAGCTGGGCTTCTCCCCACAGCACACAGTCCTATCTTCCCTATGCCCAGCTACAGGGACCCTGCCCAGGCCCCTCCCCAGGGCATCACCAGTGAAAAGCAAGCAGAGCCAGTCCCGCTGTCTGTCGACGGCTGAGACTCAGGAGTGACCCATTGCTGGTGGGCGGATGGGGGTAGCTACCGGCTGGTTGGTCGAGGGTCCATCGCTCTGGCACTACTGACCTTTTCCTGCCTTTGTTGGGGTGTCCTGACTTTGAACCACTGGCTGTGGGGGCCACGGGGAGGGACTGCCCTTGCTGGTACAGGGTGGCACTGCCCCAGGGCAGGTTGTGACCACTGTCATGTCATCTGAGACCTGTCCTGTCCCAGCAGCTCCTGCGGCCCCTCGCTCAAGCAGCCTCGCACCCCAGCTGGGAGCCCCCTTGGACCTGGACTTGGAGTCTGCCTCCGGGACCCGCTCAGGGTCTTCAGGGGCTCCCGCATCCTCCCCCACCTCCTCCACAGGCTCTGCGAGTGACCCGTCCTGCTCCTCTCTCCAGGAATTTCAAAAAGTTTCAGCCACCCTGGTCCAGCTCTCTGACAGCTCCCTTTCCCTGTCTGGCTTGGAAGCTGAGGTCACCCCAGACGCTGACCTCGGCCAGTCTGGGGATCTCTCTGTTCATGACTCCTGGGAGGAGCTCACCCCACCTTTGTCCCGGGGGCTCCACCAGGGGGACCCTCAGCCGGGTGGCATTCCTGAGGGTGCAGGATGCAGGTCCTGGCAGAGACAGGGGGGCCATGGGGCTGGGTCCCTGGGTGTCTCCTCCATGGAGGTGACCGTGGCAGGAGGCCTAGAGTCCAGGCAGAGCCTCCTGCAGGAAAGCTGGCCACTGTCCCTCCCAGACGCCCTCTATCCAAGGTCAGGGTCAGAGCTGTCAGAAGCCTCCAACCAAATCTGGGACGCGGACAGCAGGGAGAACCCGTGGGAAGCTGGTGTTGGTGCAGGGCCAGCCTCAGGGAGCTCCTGGCCTGTAGGTGGCTCATCCGACCTCAAGAAAAGTGGGCAGCCTCAAGTGCCTCTTCCTCTCCTGGGCCCTAGAGAGGGACAGGAATCTTCTGGAGCCAGCAAAAGCCTCACCCATGGATCGAGTATGGGGAAAACCAAGCAGGCCTCCCCTGAGGAGACCAGCCAGGGGCTCCTATTCCAGACCCCTTCCACCAGTGACTTAGACCCACCACTGTCCTTTCCTCTGGGGACCTCTACCTCTGGATGGATGTGTTTCAGCAAAGGAGGGCTGATCCCTCCCCAGGCCCCCGCTGACTGCCAGGAGGAGCTCTGGGGTACTGCTGTGAGCCTGTCCACCCAGAGGAAACTTCCACAGACCTCGCCGGAGCCCGAGGTCCCTTTGGTCCTGCAGACTCCTGAGGTCCCCAGTGGACTGGACTCTCCAGCTGCCAGGAGCCAGGTGCCTGGGTGTCGGGGGGGTGGAGGCCCTGCTGCCCTGGAGGAGGCCGGTTCCCCATGTGCCATTGGCTTCTTGGCTGGGATCCTGTCTCCAGTTGACAAGGAGCTGTCCTGTGGCAGTAGAGACCTCCTGTCCCCCACCCACAGGGATGCCCACTTGCCCCCACCACCTCCCACCCCTGAAGCACAGAGGGCCAGGGAGGAGGCCTACCCGTGCTCAGAAGACTTCCCCTCCCCACCTGAGGAGGCCATGTTTTCTGGGGGCTCAGAGGACCCTCTGGGGGAGGACACCTCCATCGCCACTGAGGATCTTTCTGAGGAGGCTCTGCCAGCAGCACTGTCCCCAGGGCCACAGGAGTTGGGGCTGTGCCTGGGGGTGCCTGGGAAGGGCGGAAGCCTCGAAGGCAAATTGGGTGAATCAAGTTCTGCTGTGGGAAGCCAAGCCATGGGCAGTCAGGGGTTAGAAGCAGCCAGCTGCCCAGGGTCCCCCTTGAGTGAAGGGACAGGCAGTGCCCCTAAGGGGCTCCCAAGGCCATTGGCACTGACCCTGAGTCCATCCCAAGTAGCCTGTGTGGCCCAACAGGTTCTGCTGAGGCCGCTGGTGGCTAGTGACTCGGAGGTGCTGCTGGGCACTCAGTGTGGGCGCCAGGCTCCTGCTCTGGGCTTGGGGTTCTGGACTGGTGTGGCGCCTGAGGAGTCCCCGGGCCACATGGGCAGGCCCTGGGGAGGGGTGTGGGGCACTGAGTGTGCGGAGCGTGAGCCAGGGTCAGGGACCCTCTTGGGAGGCCTGGATGGGCCCCTATCCAGAAGGACAGCCACACCCCCAACACCCTGGTCTGCAGTCCCAGCAGCCTCTCCCCCAGGCCCAGTGCCCTTGCTGGCCAGTGTCGGCGAAGAGGGGAAGGGAGGCCTGAGCTGCCAGGCAGAGGACCACCCTGGGGCCGAGGACTCAGTGGGTACAGAGCAGCTCCCTGGGGGACACTCCACCCTGGTCCTTGACTCAGGGCCCTGTGCTGATCTCCCAGGCTTGGAGAAAAGCGAGGGAGCCCAGGCTGTGGACTTGGTGTCCACCCAGCTCACCAGGAGCATCCTGTGCGACTCGCTGGCTGTGCTGTCGGGGCTCATCCCCCAGGGCAGTCCCTAGGGGGGGCACACAATGTTTGTGATGCCATTGTGTAACTGTGTATGTGTGTGTGGGGGGTGGGGGTGCACATGTGCACAGGGGCCTTCAGGAGGCCTGGATGTCCAGGGTAGGCTGGAAATGAGGCACGCCACCCTGCTGCTGGCAGTGCAGGATGGTCATCTGAAACAGCTGCAGACTGGCAGGGGCTCCACATCACTTCAGACTGGATCCAGCTGCATTTCTTTGGACAGGGTGTCCACAGCCTTGTCAAGGGCTGGAAGGGCCAGACCCAAGTGATGAAGAGACATTCTTGCCAAAGATTGTCCCGGCGGCAAGGACAGGCGAGGAGGTTGGGTGCTCCAGCAAAAACAGCCCCTAACAACAGGACAGTGTGGGAGTCAGCAGAGGCCAAGAGGGGAGGAGAGAGCAGCCGTGGATGGAAGAAGAGCTGGGGGGTGAGCCTCCCGACTCTTGCCCACTGGACTTCTGACAGCAGGGGTCTTCTGGGTTTACTGTTTCCAGTATATAACTTGTCAGCCGGCTGATGGGCATGTATGCCTCCCATGTGCCTGAGCTGAGCAAACCATAGTGGGTGACCACTCGAAGGCCAAAAGTTACTTCCCCTCCACCAGCAAAGCCTGGGGCTTGTCCTCTCGGGGTAGGAGACCTCTCTGGTACTGCAGACTTGTCCAGATTTCAAAAGGGCTCCTGGGCCACATCTTTCCTCAGAAACACAGTGACTGGGTCCTAGCAAGAGACTTTATGGGTGTGTGTGCGCACACACACCCACGTGCTTGGTCGAGGTCAGCCCATGCCACCTCCTTCAATTCCTGGGTGGACCTTCCAGGACAGAATGACCCAGGTGGCTTCTGCCAGGTCACTGCTTCTGCAAGGAAGCACTGTGTCCCCTCTTCACATGAGCCCCCGCCTTCCTCAGGACAAGGTCCGGGGGAGTGCAGGGCAGTGTTGATCCAGGCACACCAGGTTTCCTAGGTGAAAAGGAGCATGAGGACACTAGCTATGGTTTTTTGAAGTGAGTCTCAGAGCCTTGCTGGGCCTCTGTAGGCAGGACAGGGATACGCCAGGGGCAGGCTTAGCACAGACCCCCTGGAAAATGGCCTGGAGCATGGGTAACGGCGAGGACAGGCCTCCCCAGCAGTGACCTCCACCCAGAGCAGCCACCTCCATGGTGTCTGATGGGCTCTGGTGCTGTCCCCCAGGGAGGAGGAGGCTGGTGCCCTGCATCCCAGCCATCACCCCTAGCAGTGCCACAGCGCAGGTTCCCAGACTCGAGCAAGAGTGAAGACTTCCCTGTCCACCCTGCTCCCAGGGCTCAGGAGGAGCAGTGAGACAGGCTGTTTTATAAGATTCCAGCGTGAGAACCACTTGAGCTTGTGCTACAGTCTCCCTTGGAAGCTTTGGAATGAACTGTGCTTTGCAGGATGGATGTATACTGACGAGTGTGCCATTTCTGCATGTTTGCTATTTCTGAGTCTTCCCCTCGGTGCATTCCGGGAAGTGGCTCGTGACCCCAGCAGTCAGTTCTTTTACAGAGGAAGCTGCTTTCAAGTCTGTTTTCTGACTTCCAACATTGTCAGGTATCTTGAGCTGAAGCCTGCATACAGGAATTGGCTCTTTGAAGTTACTCCTCACATCCCAAAGCTGTGTGTGTGTGTGTGTGTGTATGTGTGCAGGTGTGCACAGGTATGCGCAGGTATGTACCCATGTGTGCGTCTTCCAGCTCGCATTTATCATTCATTCCTCTATCATCTCTGTCATCCATCTATAATCCATCCTTTGCCGATTCATTTCTTATTTAAGTCATTAAAAACCATGTTAGTGGCCAGGCACTGTGGCACATACCTGAAAGCCCCGTGGCTCAGAGGCTGAGGCAGGAGGATCACGAGTTCAAAGCCAGCCTCAGCAACTTAACGAGGCCCTAAGCAACTCAGTGAGACCCTGTCTCTAAATAAAATACAAAATAGGGCTGGGGATGTGGCTCAGTGGCTGAGTGCCCATGAGTTCAACCCCCAGTACCAAAAAAAAAAAAAAAAAAATATTAGTGAGTAATTTGTACCAATGGCACCATTATGTGACAAGGAAAAGGCAGGAGAGAGAAGCATCATACAAAACTTTGGAAAAACTGCACAGAAAAAACACTTAGAAATGTCATGTGATTTCCCAGTAATATGTGCCATTTTGTGTTTTTAGGTATCAGTTTTATTTTCAAAAACTCACTGAATATTCTAAAATATGAAGAGATTTTTTTTCAGAAAATGATTTTTTCCTCTTCTTTTTGTACTGGTGTATTAAATGTTTGACACTTTTCGTTAAGACATAATTCACACACCATTCAACTCACAAACTGTACAGACTGTTGGTTTCTAGTTTATTCCCAAGATTGTGCAACCAGTTTACTTTGTGAATTAGGACAAGGGGTGTGGGCCTTGGGGACATTCCAGTCCCTTGCCAATGCCTCCAGGTCTCAGCCTCTCCCTCCTGGGGCTCAGACTTCTCCAGCTGTCAGACAGGTGCTCCTTCCTTCAACTGTGCTTGTGGCCCTGGGAGACCTCCATGCACATGGGGCTTGAGTGAGAGACCTCTCCATAGTCGGCCTGGCAAGGCCCCCAGGTACCCCGCCACAGGACAGGAGCTGCCTGGGCCCCCTATCCATCTCTGGGGAGAAACCCTTAGAACACCTTTCTAAGGAGCCCCTCCAAGGACAGCCAGGCCCCGACAGGGTGGGGTGGGGGTTGATGCTTAGCAGACGCCTTCTCCAGGGCACCAGCTCCCTGTAGAGGTACACTCACTGGGAAGCACCAGCCAGGACAGTTGCTTGGTTGTGCATAAGGTACACCGCAGCCCACCCCAAAGCAGAGGAGGTTTGGTTCTGCCGCGGGGACACATGTTCCTGCCCTGTGTGTGTGACTTCAGAACAGCTCTCTCATGAATTCCCTCCTAGTTTTCTGAACAAATTAGTCTGTAATTTTTTATTTTCCTGTATTTATTGCTGACCCTTTGGATTTATGAGGCCGTGTGAGGAATTACATATTTTACACATGCACGTTTGGCATTGCAATAAATCTTACACATCGAAACCCTGCAGATTGGCCTCAAATTCGATGGTCCCTGTCTCACTGCTTGGGCTTGGTGCTGTGGCTCCACATGATGTTGGGGCTGCTCCCACAACCAGAGCCTGGTTTTGCCAGGACTTTGGCTGGGTGCTAAGCAGGTGCGTTGTGTTGCCAAAGTCATTTCTCAGCCTTGGCATGGTACCCTTGAAGGGAGGCTGGTCACAGGGAACTAATGAGACCACACCTCCCAATGACTGATGGAGCCGGAGGGGGACCAGGGTTATAAAATGACTCTGGTGGGAGGAGAAAAAGTACCTCCTTGGAAGGTACTAGAGACACCTCATCTCCCTAACGTTATGTGCACAGAGCCGAGTGCCCTGGTGTTCAGATGTGTTGACCTGGGCAGGGCAGGGTCCCACCCTCCAAGGTCTAGGGCTGTGCCTACCCTGGCTCTGATCCACACTTGGGCCAATAAATCTTGACACCAGCTTCAGGAGAAGTCATCATCTTTCATATGAAATGAGTATTCCTCACTTAAATCCCACGTTCAACTTCCTGAGACCTGTCTTTCTTGGCATCCTGCTTCCTGATTCCCTCCTGCATAGACTGCCCACCTGCTATGGTGCCTCTGGCACATGTGTTCTAACCCGTCACATGAGCTTCGTGAGCATCTGGGGCCTGGCATGGCCACAGTGGCTCTCTCACACACACAGAAGCTACCAGAGCAATTCACAAGGGTGAGGGTACCCACCTTGGGAGTGCAGGGATGTCCCTCCCACCTGTGCCTCCTGCCCACAGGAGGTGATGTCTGGTTGTGTGGGCAGGGGCTGAGCAAGCTCACTCACCTTCTGTAGCTCTAGCTTCCTGCTCCAGACAGGCCTGTCCAGTCCCTGTCCAAACCAAACCAGGTCCCAGAAGACAGAGCTGGGGCTGGCTGTGCCTGCTCAAAGTGACTCCACAAAGTGTAGAACAGCATTCTCAGAGTGTGCCTAACCCTGAGTGACTCCATGGTGTGTAGAACAGCAGCTCTCAGGCTGCGCCTGGCCTGGGTGACTCCATGGTGTGCGGAACAGCAGCTCTCAGGCTGTGCCTGCCCTGAGTGACTCCATGGTGTACAGAACAGCAGTCCTCAAGCTGCGCCTGCCCGGGGTGACTCCATGGTGTGTAGAACAGCATTCTCAGAGTGTGCCTAACCCTGAGTGACTCCATGGTGTGTAGAACAGCAGTCCTCAGGCTGCATCTGCCCGGGGTGACTCCATGGTGTGTAGAACAGCATTCTCAGAGTGTGCCTAACCCTGAGTGACTCCATGGTGTGCGGAACAGCAGCTCTCAGGCTGCGCCTGCCCTGGGTGACTCCATGGTGTGCGGAACAGCAGCTCTCAGGCTGTGCCCTTCCCTTTGTGACTCCATGGTGGACAGATCAGCTGATTTCAGCCTAACCCTGAGTCACCCCATTTCATAAAGCCCCAGTTTGCCCTGAGCTGCTCTAATCAGAGCAAGAACTCTGTACCTTGTTTGTGCAAATCAACAGCCACCATCTGCCTGGCACCACCATAAGGCACATGCTGATAAATAAATTGATCATGCTCATAAAAGTGACCACCTGTGACTTACAGATTAATCAGAAGCACATGAATGTGTGGGTGTATCAAACTCATATTGGAAAAATCAGGCCCAGGAGCTAGTGGAACCACCTCAGGATGCAGCCCCTCACTCGAGACCCACAGAAGGAGGGGCACCTGAGCCTGGACACAGCAGCACGCTGACCCTGTCACCTGGTCACTCATCACAGCCTCACCCAGGAATGTCACCACAGCAATGAACCTTCAGTTCTCTGTCAGGGGCTTCAGCAAAGCAGTTTCTCCTGCCAGTGACGACCATGCAAGTCCCACTCCAAGCTGACACCTCAGGCTGACACTCCAAGCTGACATGAGACTGGCACTCTCTGGACCTTGGCCTAGAATAGGTTCCTGTGCTCCCATGGCCCTGCGCCCTGCACAGGTCCTCGGTGGTTTCTAATCTCATCCGACCACCTGTGGTGACCCTATCTGTACCTGCTATCTGCCTCCTGAAGCCTGAGACCCCTGCACGGTTCAGCCTCTCGGTAGCCTGTACATATAGTTGTGTAGAGTGTGTTGTGTGACTTGAGCCTTACAGATGTAGAAATCAAGACTGAATGACCCTGTGACTGCCCAGCTTGACACCAGGGACCCACACATATCCACTGAACTGCCACTGATGAGAGTGGTGTCACCTGAGGATTAACTCATTCAGTAAGTTCTGACGCAGTGGAGGGACAGAGACGTATCTGGTCTGTTAGTGACCTGGCTGGCTTATGACACAGCTCTTCAATGATGGCCCCCCAGGCAGCTTCCAGAACCCCCAGGAATGTCTGTGGGTCCCACATCTGTCTACTTGGTCTTTTGTCCTGTTTGCTCACACTGGGACAGCCATCAAACACCAAAACCCTCCTCTGTACAACCAGTATCTCCCTGTGCCCCAGCAAAGGCCCTCCCTGATGTCCAAGAAGACAAAGCAGAGCAGGGGCTGGTGTCTGCAAAGCCAGACTGTGGCTCACACACACACATCTGGCTTGCTCCGGGGCCCGGCCTTTCTTCCCTGCCTGCTGGCCACCTTGAAGTGTGGGCATTCAATGGTGCTGAAGTCCAGCCTGTGCTCTGCGTCTGCTCCAACTGTCACTAGGAGTGCTGCAGGGACCCCATGCCCATGCCTTTGTGTCCAGTCACTCCCTCTGCTTGGTCACTCGCGGTGCTTCTCTCAGTCTCACACTCACCCTGGTTGCTCTCTCCAGCCACACTGGACTCCTTGCCACCCCTCCAGTGTGCCACCTTCTCCCACAGGGCCCTTGTACATGTGGCTCCTCTGCCTGGTGTGGCTCTCACCTTATCCACTCAGAGGCCTCTCTCTGCCCTGCTGTGCATGATGCCCCCACCACACTCCCTGTCCTCAGGCCTGGCTTCCACACTTTTGTCTGAGATCCATTCTTCTGCTCTGCAGTCCCAGGGGCTCAAGAGCTCAGCATCTGTCTCCAAGGGTTGGCACAGAATGGAGACCAGTGAGCATTAGCACAGGAAGGATAAGTGAAGGGAAAGAGAGGGACATGAGGGAGAGGGACAGCCACAGCAGGACCTCTGGTCTGCACCATCAGGCGTAGGGTTTCCTAACCCTTGACATCAGCAAAGCCCTTTCCTCACACACAGCATCACACAGAGCCACAGGACAGCCGGCAGAGATGACTGCGTTGGCAACTGTGTTTCCAGGGTGATTCCAATGGTCATTTTTTTTTTAAGAGAGAGAGAGAGAGAGAGAGAGAGAGAGAGAATTTTTTAAATATTTATTTTCTAGTTTTCGGTGGACACAACATCTTTATTTTATTTTCATGTGGTGCTGAGGATCAAACCCAGCGCCCCACGCATGCCAGGCGAGCCCGCTACCGCTTGACCCACATCCCCAGCCTCCCAGTGGTCATTTGTTAAAACCAACCGTCCAGCAGAGGAAAGCAGACCTACCTTGTAGTCTCAGGCTAACACCAGGTCCTTGCCCCTTGATGGGATCCTCACCTGTGTCCTTTCTTTTCTGTTTTAGTCACAGTTCAGGGAGTGTTGATGTGAATAAAAAAGTTAGGAATCACAATTAAAAACAAACAAACAAAAAAACAGGTCTACTATTCCACTTGAGTGAAAAAGTCACATAGAACTTTATTTCCCGGGTTTGTGGAGACATGAATGAACACTGCAGCCAAGGTCTATTCTTGCATCCTAAAATTCAGAGGTGACCCTCTACCTTTGTGCTGAGGTTCTGTTACATTTTCTAAGAGCTACAAAGTCAGGGTCAGATTAGGGCATCCTCTGAAGCCCCCTGAGGCTAAAGTTACATGAATTTCAGATAAATAGTATAGTTTCTAAGAACATGTCCAAATTTGCCCTTTAGACTAAAAGCTCAACTCGCCTTTTATACTGTTTATCCTAAATTCACATTTAACCTTGCCATAGTATCTGTGCCACAGGTAGTATATTTTCATTTGCTAAATCTGGAAACCCTGCTGGGTGTGATGGTGCAAGCCTGTAATCCCAGTGGCACAGGAGGCTGAGCCAAGAGGATGCTGAGTTCAAAGCCTGCCTCAGCCACTTAGTAAGCCCCTAAACAACTCAGCGAGACCCTGTGTCTAAATAAAATATTTAAAAGGGCTGGGGATGTAGCTGGGTGGTTAAGCGCCCCTGAGGCCAATTCTCAGTACAAAAAAAAACAAAAAAATCTGGACCAGCTCTACTCCCAAGGGGCCCAGGTGGCAAGTGAGCCAGGGAGGGCCGAGGGTGGAGCCAAGCTCATGAGGGCGGGGCAGAGCTCAGGGGCGGGGCGAGGAGAGAGGGGCCGAGCTCAGGGGGTGGGGGGGGCGGGTGGATAGGGTGGGGCGAGCTCGGGGGCGGGGCGAGCGTGGAGGTGTGGAGGGCAGGGGCGGGGCCGAACCTAGAGGGCCGGGCTAGCGAACACGCGGGCCGGACCCGACGCGAGGGGCGGAGCCGGCGTGCGCGACCACATGACGGCGGTTGCCAAGGTGAAAGGTCGTCGCGACGGTGGCACTCCCAACATGGCGGCAGCCGGGGCGGCGGCGGCGGCGGCGGTGTCGCCGCGCAGCCCCGGAGCCCGAGCGCGGCGCCCGCCCCCGTCTCGGGTCGCGCGGCTGCCGCGGCTGCTGGTGCTGCTGGCGGCAGCGGCGACGGGGCCGGGGGCGGGCGGCGCGGCGCGGCTGTACCGCGCGGGCGAGGACGCCGTGTGGGTGCTGGACAGCGGCAGCGTGCGCGGGGCCACGGCCAACAGCTCGGCCGCGTGGCTAGTGCAGTTCTACTCCTCGTGGTGCGGCCACTGCATCGGCTACGCGCCCACCTGGCGGGCGCTGGCCGGGGACGTGCGAGGTGAGGGTCCCGCGCGCCGGGCGCGCTTTCCGGCCCGCCGCCCGGGCCTTCGCGGAGCGAGCCAGCCGCGGCCGCGAGCCCGCCGGCACCGGGGAGCAGAAGCGCCCTTCCCGGCCCCGCGGAGTCTTCTGCCCGCGAGAGCTTCACTGCCCCCACCGTCTCTCTCCTGACCCACAGCCCCAGCCCCAGCAGTTCCGTTTCAGAGCCTAGCACCCCCGTTTTGAGGACACCCCCTTTCCAGACCTGTAGCCACCCTTTCCCTGTAAATCTTCGCCATCCTCTTCCTGGTTCGGATGGCTGATCAAGTGGTGGGTTTCAGAGTAAGCCCACAACTTAGAAACCCAGATCCTCTGGGGAGTGCTTTGTAAATGCAAAAGTCCTACCAGGTGTCTCGTTGGTGGGTTCCTTGTTCACAGCTTTTGAGAAATCACTCATTCACCAAATTCCTGGTACTATTACCGGACTTTACTGTTCAGCACTTTCTTGCTGCTAATCGCTACTCACTCCTGAAGTTGTCCTCCTGCTTTAGATGGCAGGGTTGTAATGTAGAGGACATTTGCAGCCCTCTTGAGCAGACCCGCCGCGTTGTAAATAAAGTGGAATTTAAATGGTTTGGCAGTAGTGTTCCTCGCCAGCAAGGCTGAGGTTTTGAGGGACCAGCTTGCTACTGTTGTGCTAACCCCTAATTACAGATTTCACTGGGCAAGAGCCATGACAAATTGTTACTCTTCCTTCCTGCACTTTTCTTTTTGGGTCTTATACCAATCCCTACTTTATTTTTCTCATATAAATGAGATTTGTAGAGTCTTTTTCAAGTATGCAGTTGTAAATGTCTTTAGAACTTGTTCTCTTATTTCACTGTTGAGGTTTTTTGATTCTAATGGGTTTGTTCTCTTGGATCTCAAGTTTTCCATAAGTCCCTAGGCAGACCTGAGACCAGAGACTGGAAAAAAAAACAGAAAACTAGTGGGTTCCTTTTTTCTTTAACTTTGTTTTTTTGGGAAACAAGCCATTCGATAATGTGGAGGATTTTTTCAATTCTTGGGGTTTTTTTGGTGTGTGTGGTGCTGGAGATTGAACCCAGGGCTTGTGTGTGCGAGGCAAGTACTCTACCAACTGAGCTATGTGCCCAGCCCTCAGTTCTGGTTTTTATTCAGTAGCAGAAACAGATATGTAAATGAAAATGCAGGTAGCCTTGGCAAAACTTCTGTCACCTTTTTTTTTTTTTTTTTTTTTAACTTTTTCAGCTTAGTATCTGAAATGTAAAAGTTTTAAGTCAAATTCAAATATTGCAAGCTGTTGTTTAGCAGAATCAGCATGTGTGGAGCCCTGAAAATTGTCCTTGCAACTTGGGAGGAAGGTTTCTTCTGAAAGTGAGACAGTAAAATCCATACCTGATGGTGTAATTAACTAAACGAAGTTGCTCAAAAGGACTGGCTGTCAGCCAGGTCAGGGCAGGAAGAGGGGACCTGAATTGAGATGTGGCTGAAAGCAAAAGACAGCTGTGGCCTGACTGCAGGCAAGAGCATTGGGGGGGGGGGGGGACCGTGGGGTGCAGAAGCAAAGGAAGAAAAGGGCCAAACTGGCAGCAAGGCTGCCCACGACAGGGACAGAGCCCTTAGCACTGAGCAGTGTCCCACTCAGGGTCCCTGGGACTTTTTCTAGGTCTGTGGTCCCCAAAGCAATCAACTGGGGATTTGGTAGAATGCATGTTGTCAGCTCCAGCCCAGACCCACCCAGCATCCTGTCAGCACCAGCCAGAGAGCTGGAAGATCACTGTTCCAAGAGGTATTGACCCTGCAGGACCCCTGCAAGAATGGGCTTGTGGCCAGAGGTGGTTGTGTGCTCTCCCTTGTGGTGTCTTCCACATGAGGACCTCTGCCTTTGTGCCTGAATGCATTGGACACTCTTGGGAGCACGCCTCACTGCCTTTGCTGAGAAGGGCAGCCACGCTCTGCTTGGCGAGCAGTTTAGCTTAGGAGAGGGTGCCCATTGCCCACGGCATCACGGTGCCCTGTCTGTGCTTCTGATCAGTCACCTGTGAACAGGGCCATTTGGCTAGTCCTGTTGGGCATGCAGACCTGTGTTGGGCTCCCTTCAAACAGCATCCTCCTGGCTCCCCCCAGCATCCCTGGCATTAGGTTGCCACAGGCAGGGAGCCCAAGCTAGAAGAGGGACTGTGCCTACCTGCCTCCTCCCCCTCACCCCTAGCTGGACAGGCAGGATGGGGAGGTGGCGGTCCATGGGGGTGAAGCCTCTCCCAGCCCTCCACTCAGTTTAGGAGCATCTTCATTTCCTCAAAAGAGTTGAGTTTCATGGCTTTTCACTGGCTTTTTCAAGTTTCGGAAATAATTGTTTTTCCTGAGACAGTGTCTTAACAGACAAAAGGTCTACTGTTTTGTGGAGCTAAAGGTTATTCCAGTATTTATGTGGACCTGGTTTAGGCCTGTTGATTCTAAGTACTTTGCAAAATAAAACCCACTCTGTTCCTGAAAATCGTTTAGCTGTCATGGTTATCTTGGTCCATGATGCAAGCGGACACACCTGCACTTTGTGCCCTAGAGGCAGCATGTGTGGCCTTGGGGTCTGTCCCTGTCTCCTTATTTGGGAAAGCAGAGAGCTGGGGTAACAGGGCAGATATGTTGTTGGCCCTAGAATTCTCAGTGAGGAATTTGGAGGGGAAATGAGACACTTCTAGAACCATCTTCTGAGAGAGTACTGATGCTCTCATGTCGAAGGTGACGGTACCCGAGGATGAGTGAGACTGAGTCACTGTGGTCACATGGCTGAGAACAGACTGGGACCTGGTCCCTGTGCGGGTGTCTCCAGAGCCCTGTCAGCTTACTTCCTGTGACCCTGTAGAAGGGGGTGGGGATTGTGAGTGGGAGGCACAGGCTTTGTCACCTGGGGGTGGAGGAGAGGGTGCTCTGCTACTGTGGCCGCCAAGTGGCAGCCATGGCCTGTCTGCCTTTCCCAGGGTGCCCCTCTCTCCCACTGGACCTGATTTTCTTGTCTCCCTGACCAGGATGGAGGCTTTTAGAGATGAATTAGACTACTGGGTGTTTCCCAGAAGGTCATTATCTGTCCCTGGAAAAAGGTAGAGAAGGACCTGGGAGGTAGAGGTGCAGGTGGCAGCTGGGGTGGACGAGTGGGTACCTCCGAGGCAGTGGGGTGCACCTGGACTCCGGAGGAGCAGGAGAGGGTAGAGAGAAGACTGAAGCCAGGTTCTGGAGCGGCCCCCTCCTGTAGGCCCAGAACCTGCTGAGCACGGCCCCCAGTCAGAGCTGCATGGCTGTTTTACAGTTAACCAGTGCAAGGTGCCGGCCAGGCCTCAGGAGGCCCTCCCTGAATTGCTGTGGTGGTGTGCTGTGGCCAGTGCTCACATGTCGTTCATCACGTGAGGATGGTCCACCAAGTGCTTCCAAGAGACTGTCACCACTGTGTAAAGCTGTGTTCAGTGGGGTGGCCCAACCACAAACATTGCAGGGCCTTGTGTGGCATGGAGGGTGGGGTGCTTCCATGGTAAGCAGGGATTGTTAACATCACCCTTAGGCACTCTTGAATGCTGAGGGCCATATCCAGTTTTGTTCTAAGAAAATGTCCAACTCTTGGGGATGAAGAGACCTTGGAGGGCTAGGGGGTATAGCTCAGTCAAGTGTGTGACCTGGAGTGCCACAGGATCTGAGTTCGGTCCCCAGAACCCAAATAAGGAGAGCATGGAGACCAGGCCACCCTCAACCTGAGATGGAGTAGTGCACCTGGCTGTGTTCCCATGCCAGCCCGTGGCAGCTGGTAGGTGCCTTGTGCTGGTCTCTATTGGTGGCCTTAATCTCTGCCCAGGCTTTATGACTTGAACTTGAGCTTATCCAAGACCTGTGCTCTGTTGGAAGGGGACCTGCACCCAGTAAGAGTGTTCTCCATGTCTGGAACGTGGGCTTGGAGACTGTGACGGTGCCCTGACTGGTCAGGAGTGGGAGGAAGCCATAATAGAGCTCAGTGCTTCTGACACAGCCCACCAGTCACAGTCGTTTAGACCTTGGAGGCTAATTAGTTTTTACTGTGATCATTTTCTAGAACTAATTGGTGCTTAACCATAAGTTGGACTTATATAGATTTTTTCATTATAACAAGACAAGGAATGGCAAAGGCTTAATCCTGTTTGGTTCAGTAATAGAGCTAACAAGCAAGTTTGAACTGGGTTTAGTCAGCTGTACATAGAAGCCACTTATTTCACAAGTATTTTTAAGCCTAGAGTACTAACAGCCATGCTCGCCAGCGGGCCGAGAAGCCAGCGCTGCTTTGGGTCCCCCTTGCCTTTGAAAGCCTTCGATGCTGCCTGGGGAGGACAGCCTCCCTGTGCCTCCCAGCTGGTGCCCTTTAACCCCAGTGTTTAGGGGGGTGGTCCCATGCGTCCAGTGAAAGCAGGCAATTTGCATTCAGCTTCAGAGGTCCCCTCCTTTGTGTGTCCTCTTGACAGGTGGGAGCAGCAGAGAGGGGAGTGCGTTGAAGGAGGCGCTACCCTGAGGCAGGACCTTTTCAGTAGCCTGTGTTTTGTGGGTGGAATAGGCGGTGGGATCTTTTGTGTCACTGTGAATACCGTCCATCTGCCAGGGCTTCCCAGTGACTGCTGGTGCCTCCTCAGTGCCACAGTGTAACTGTGTGTAACTGCTGTGTTACCAGCCCACCGGTTTTCAAAGACAGACAAAGGCCTCCTGAGGGCCCTGCCCCTTCAGCAGGACAGCCCTCATTTGGGTGGGAGGCAGTGTCTGGAGTGGCTCCACAGGTGACTTGTTGAGTCAGGAATCTCAAGCGGCCGGGGCAGGTGGGGCAGCTGGACCATCCTCGTGGCCAGTGCATCTGCAGGCGGTGACATGGGCCCTGTGTGAGTCCCTTGCCTACCTGAGTGTGCGCTGGTATTCCTGCAGTGGGCGTGCAGGGCAGCAGGGACAAAGCAGGGGGCTGCTGTTCTTTAGAGGGAGCAGCAAGTACTGTGCAGAAACAAAGTGACAAGGTAGCTGCAGGAATAAGCTGGCAGCGAGGGGTAGGAGGCCCTGGTGCCCAGGCTGGAGCGGCACATGGACTCCTGACCTCGTCTGCAGAGATGCAGACGGCCTCTGTGAAGTGGGAAAGGACTCCACGGAGCCACAGGGCCTGGGCATTCTCCTTCCCACGCCCTCTCCTCCCCATGCCCTCTCCTCCCCACGCCCACTCTCCCAGCAGCGCCTTAGAGCGCCTCGGGAGTCAGTGGAGAATGCCTCTGATGGGGGCGCTCTCTGCATTTGTGAGAAATGGCTTTTAAGGCTTTGGAAATCGCACCATGATGCTGTCATGGGAAGGGTTTAGAGAAGGGAGTTCTTCACTTCTGAAACCACTTGCCATGGACGACGGCTTTTGACCCAGTGGCACTGCAGCTTTGACTCTCCTCGCCACTGTGTTGACAGCAATGCACTGGTCAAACTGTCACTTCTTCAGGTGTCACTTGGCTGTCTTCCTCCTGCCTTGCTGGTCTCTCACCTAAAATGTCCTGCTCCTCTCTTTGGGATTCTGATTGTCACTGGTAGGGCCACAGTTTCCCCAGCAGTACTGGTCGGCTGCAGGAGCTGACTGAGAGTGTGTTGTCCCGCCCTGTGCTGTTGGCCACCGCTCTCCATCTTTCTGTGCTGGCGCTGGGCCAGCACTTGTGTGGCAGAACTTACCGGCCTTCCTGCATGCCAGCATGCGTCTCTCAACCTGTCCCATCCCAGGCTCCTTGGCAAGTAGATCTTACTTGATGTCACCATTTTACAGAGGAGCAGCTAAGGCACAGAGACTCTCAGAACCCAGTAAGTGGCAGGCCAGAAGGGGAAACTGAACAGTCTGGCTCTGGGGCAGGGGGTTGACCTGTCAGGTGGTGTCTGCAGAGTCGTGGGCTGCAGTGCAGAGACTGGGCCAGACCCCACAGTAGGGACTGAGCTAGTGTGCAGCCAGAAGGGATTCCTGGGGTGAGTGGCGTCTCAGTGGGAGCCCAGCACAGGGGTGGTACAGGGTCCAGGCAGAGGCCCTGGGGACTGAGATTGTGGCATGATGAGACAGAAAGACTTGCTGTATGACCATAGGTGGAGGCTATGGTGGAGCTATGGTGCTCTCAGGCCCACGGGAAGCCATGGGGTTGGGTCAAGGCCCCCTGGTCTCCATCTGCTGCTGCCCTTTCACACGCAGGAGCCGGGAAGCACAGCGTACTCCTGAGCAGGTATGCTTGCTGTGCGTGGGCTCCACCTGCTCTTCCTTCACTTGTTGCCTTGCATGGGCCAAGCATCTCCCCCATCCTGCCAGGGTGGTACGCCCTTGGCACTGAACCACCTCCATGGAGAGGGTTGGGAAAGCAGTGTTGATGGGCAGCACTGCCTGCACCTGTCTGCCTACGCTTCCTGGGTTGGAAGGTGCAGGGTGGGCAGGCCCAGGGCCATGTTTCCAACAACAAGAGAGCTGGGTCTGAAGCTCCCTGTCTCTCTCCTGGGTGTGTGGTGACATGGAGCTCAGTGTCCCTGTCTACCAAGTTGGGACCCTGACATTCCTATCGCAGTCTTGAAGGGGTGCTGCAGTGGACAGTGTGGACAGTGGGACGTGATTGCTGAGCATGGTGGGGCTGGGGAGGTTGCTCTTGTGTTTTGGGCGGTGACCTCCAGTGGACGAGATGTATGAGGACACAGGAACATGCTCTGATCAGGCTTGAGCACAAGTGTTGGGGTGCATGGAGCCTCTGTTTCTCGTGGACTTGGCTCTCGGCGCCAGGGGTTCAGGGGTTCTGCACTCCGGCTGTCAGGAGTTGGGTGAGGCAGAGCCCGGCCACACTTGGCTGGCTGGCCTGAGGGCCGTCAGAGCCAGCCGTGCCTGACTGTGGCTTGGGCCATGCAGCTCTGCCCACAGTGCTGGGTAAGCGGCCTGTGCCGAGCCGCCCTCTGTTGGCGACTCCAGGAAGGTAGAGCCACGTGGAGCACAGTGCAGGTGGCCAGCAGCGCTGGCGCACAGCACACATGTCCACAAGTGCCCAGATCAGTAGGTGTTTTTAATGTTTGATTTATGAGTGACATGTGTTTTGAGAAAATATAGACCCAAAACCTACCAAGATGTGCGCGTCCTGGGACGTGCCCCTCCCTCCCTGTTTCCGGGCGGGCTCAGGTGTTTCACACAGGAGTCTGTCATTAGGCCCTGGGTCCTTCATTCTCTTGTGCTTTGCAGTGGGAGGGTGCTTCTGTACTGCGGGTGGAGTGTCGTGGAAAGTTCCCAGTGAGCAGAGTGAGTGCCAGGTGCAGGCTGCAGAGCCAGGGTGGCCACCTTCACGTGCTCTGCCATCTGCTCCTCTGCTGCACTAGCTGGATGGGAGTATTTACTGTCCTTCCTTAGGTCTGTGCAAGGTGAGGCTCCAGGGACATGTGACCTGCAGTCAGGAGTTGCTGGAGTTCTCCAAGCATCATAGTGGCCTTGGGACATGACTTGTTTCTGTAGCCAACACAGCAGGAAGGTGTCTGGTCACCGTTTGTGAAAAGCATAACTGTGCTATTTATTTTTAGTCAAAGAGGGAAAAGATATGTGTTGTAAGCAGGTGTGATGTCTCATCTTCATGGGTGTTGGGGTGACTGCTGATGGCAGTCCCCTCCCACCCAGGCGTTCAGCACTGCCTCTGAAGCAGAGCAGAGCTGGCCCTCAGAGAAGATTGTGATGTGACATTGGCAGACAACAGGAATGGCCAGAACAGGCAGTGAGCCTCCATCCAGAAATCATGTGGCTTCCAGCAGCAGGTGGCACGAGGCTCCTTAGACTTATCCACCTGCAGAGCCCTGGGTTTTCCTGCAGAGGCTACTCGCTGAGCACCAGTACCACATCCCAGGTCTGGACAGGAGCCCCACAGGGCCAGGCACCATGAAATGTGTGTGAGTCCATCCACCCAGAGAAAAGGCACCAGTCTATCAAAAAGGCCCCCATCAGAGAGTGCCGGGAGCCCTCATCCTGATGCTGGTGTTGGCAGGGAGGCCGGGCACTTCCCTGGGTCACCACAGGCAGCTTTCTCTATAGATGTGTCCTGGCACCCATCCCCACCCCCAAGTGAGAGGAGTGGGACAGGAGGCCTCCCTTTGTGGCTGTGGCCCTAATGAATCGGTGTACTTTGGTCATGGAGAAGGCCAGGATCACTTGTCCCCATGCCAGGTGACAGGGTCGGGCACAGTCAGCAAGATCAGAGAGTGGGAAGGCACAGGGCAGAGGTGGGGGTCTTCCGCCAGTGGGTGTGATGTACACGTGGCCTGCCGGGACTGGAGGCAGCCTCCTTTACATCCCCATCAAGCTGACTTTGGGCACAGAGGAGGCAACAGGGAAATGCTCATCCTGGCTGGGCCTGGGATGGTGTAAGGAGTGCGTGCTGTGCGGCAGGTGCCAGGGTGTGGGCAGCGTGCCCTGTGGAGAAAGAGCCTCCACTTCAGAGATGCACGTGGGGAGGTGTGATGCGGAAACCTCACGCTCTGGGTGGTTCTAAAAGTGGGTGGGGATCCGGTGAAGCCAGAGTTGCATGAGCTGGTGATTGTTGATACTGAGATGAGGGACATGTGGGAGTTTGTTATATTTTTATCTTATTATTTTTGTGTTGGAAATTTTCCATAATTAATAAAACTTTAAAGATAGAGAAAGGTATTTGGAGCAGCTCCATTTCCCTGCCCAGGACAGCAGAGGCACGCAGGGTTGCGGGAAGCCTCTGTGGTGGCTCGGTGCTTCCCTTAGCACAGTGCCTGCTCTGTGCATGTGCCTTGGCCGGCCCCACCCCCCTTCACATGCAGCGCTTACCTGTCCCTCTGTTCCCTGCACATCCGTGTCAGGGTACCACTGAACTAGGACACCTCCACGTGGGAAGCCACGGAGTGACTTGCCAGTTCGGCAAGAATGTCTTCTCCCTCCGTCGTCGGGGAGGAAGCGCCTCCTCCCCAGGTGGATGCAAGAGGGGCTGCCTTGGTGACGTGGAGGCAGGCTTTGGACTGGTTTGTCATGGCAGCTGACTCCCAGCTGTCATGCCCTCTGGGGTGGGGACGCTGGGGCTGCAGGGGGTAGCGAGCACAGGGCACCTGCCCTGCTGAGGGTCACACTCCTGCTTTTCAGATTGGGCTGCTGCCATCCGAGTGGCTGCGCTGGACTGCGCGGAGGAGAAGAACCAGGAGGTGTGCCGCACCTACGACGTCCACTTCTACCCCACCTTCCGGGTAAGCCCAGGGTGCCTGCAGGCTGTGTCCGGCCTGCCCTGTTCGCGGGCTTCTCTTCAGGGAAATGCGCTGCTTCTCACTTCTGATCTGCAGCCATCTGGCTTGCTTCCCGAGACTCGGCAGTGGGGTCTCAGAGGCCTGCTGCTGGGCTGGGATGCCCCTGCCCACACACATAGAGGCCCTCTGCAGGCTGCACGGCCAGTGCTGCCCACCTGTGTGTGTATGTACTGTGGTCCTCGTGTCTCCTCCTCAGGGTATGGCAGCACCCACAGGGACACTGGCACCTTGCCCCCTGCTGTAGTCAGCCCTTGAAGGATGTTTGTCCCGTGTTTTCCACCAGGGGGCAGACAGAGGTCACTGCGGCTTATTGAAAGCCCAGGCAGTGTCCATGAGTGCATGGGTGTGTGGCCATGTGCGTGCACACAAATGCCATGCGGCACAATCACATGAACGTCCCTAAAAGATGTGGCGTCTGTGGGGATGGTTTCTGGGAGCCCCTGGTGCCAGTCCCTGGAGCCCAGAAATCCTGGCTGCTCTGTGTGGGGTGCTGTCTGAGTGCCCTCACCTGCCTGCTTGCTGCCTGGCTCCGGCCACTCTATTATTGGCCAGCGTTGTGCTGTATATCCTGCTTGGTTTCCAGGCCCAGGGACCACTGTGTCCTGTGCTGCTTGTCCTGCTGCTTTGTTGTCCCAGTTTGATGGCATCAAGATCTATTCCACTTGGTTTTTTCTCGTAACCTCATACACAGGTGATGTGTTGCCTGTAGACGTCTGCCTGCCCGCCCACCTGAGGACAGGGTTGAACCTGGAGCTCTGCCACTGAGCCCACCCAGCCCTCTTTATCTGAGGCAGGCCTTGCTGAGCAGCCCGGGCTGGCCCTTCCTCCCGAGTTGTGGGGCTGGCCCGAGGTGCTGGGTGTCGCTGAGGTTTGCTGGACCTGATCACCTGTGACTGTGTGGCGCTGGCCCTTGTGGCTGGATCTGCAGGCTTTGCTGCTTCAAGCAGCACTGCTGTGACGAGGTCCCAGGGTGGGCCTGGGGGGCATCGCAGGGCGGGGGGATCGGGGGTGTGCACAGCAGACCCCACAGAGCCAGCCCTTCCCTCACACCTTCACGCTCGCCCACAAACGGCGCACAGGGAAACCACTGGTTAGTCTCTCTTCCCTGGGGCCCCTGCATATCTCTGTCTGTGAGGAGGCTGCTTGTGCCATTGCATTGTCCTTTCCCTGGTGGTTACAGACAGAGATCCTTTCATGTTCTCTATGCTGACCTTCCCGTCGTAGCACCGGGGTATCTGAACCTAGAATGGACCTCGTCTAGTTACTGCTTACTGTGTCTTTGATGAAGAAAGTTCCTGATGCAGAGTCCTTTTCCTCTACTCAGATCCTGACTGCCACTCTCCCTCTACGTCCTCTGTGGATACAGCCCCAGTCAGACATCTTAGGTGCCAGGAGTTGGGGGCGCTGCCCTTTATGACTCTGCCCTGTGGCTTTGACTTGCTTCCACACCTCTGGGGCAGAACGTGAATGATGGAATTCTGATGGTCCTTACTGTAGCCTGCTCACAAACGTGGCAGGGAGCGCTAGCACCTGCAGGGCCAGGTGGACACGTGTCCTCAGGCAGTTCGACTTCCCAGAGGACTTGGCCGGGACCTCTGAGGGCACTGGTCACTTTGTTGTGTGTTAACATGAGCATGGACCCCCATGAGGCTGTTTCTTATTTGTTGTGTGTTTTTCCTCTAGTATTTTAAAGCATTCACAAAGGCGTTTACAACTGGAGAAAATTTTAAAGGTAAGGACACAGCACTGTATTCTTATCTCAGCCCGATGTCCAGGCCTGTCGGTCTCAGGGGTGTATGCCCACGGTGGGTTTGCACCAGCACTGCTTGTCCTTCCACTGAGGGGTCGGACTTTAGTTATTGCAGTGAGAGAATTTAATTTTGGCTTTGTCTTTCTTGGAAAAGTTTTTTCAAGTCCATTTTTCATTGAGAGGGTTTGGAGAAATGCACAGTGGACATGTGTGTGGCTACTGGGTTCCCAGGGGAGCCTGGCCAGGGGGGGTGCTCGAGTCACCCTTGTGGGAACCTGGCGACACCGGCACTCCTTGGGTGCAGAGGCGGCCTTGCCATGTCCACTGTGGGTGGGATCCAGGGGCCTGCCTTCCTCTCAGTGCCTGTTGTGAGATTCATCTGTTGTCACATGTCCATGAAGCTGTTCACACTCACTCACGGGCCCCATGGTCACCTGTGTATGAATCCACCTCTGCCTAAACCACACCTGGCAGTGTGCATCAGTGCGCCCACCAGGGTTACCTGGTATGGGGCCAGCGCTTGGTGGGGCAGATTTGCACAGATGTGGCCGTGATCAAGGTGTGCTTCTGGCAGGACCCGACAGAGAGCTGCGGACAGTCAGACAGACGATGATCGACTTTCTGCAGAACCACACAGAAGGCACCTGGCCTCCAGCCTGTCCACCTCTGGACCCTCTTCAGTGAGTAGCTCTATTAAAAGGGGGCACATGGGGCTTGGGGTGTCACTAGTGGCAGGGCACGTGCTTAGCAAGTGGAAGGCCCTGTGCTGGATCCCCAACGTTTGCACAGTGAGTCAGTCACGGTCATGTGCATGTCACTGTGTGGAAGCAACACATGCTGGCAGCTTCCTGCGGCTAGGAGTGCTAAAAACCTGTGTTTTTTTCCTCCCTGAAAGGCCCAGTGACGTTCTCTCCCTTTTCGACAGCCGTGGTGGCCATTACGTAGCTGTGATGTTTGAGAGCAGTGGCTCCTACGTTGGACGAGAGGTACCGTGCCTGTGGGTGCTGCAGGCCTGCTCTGTGTGGGCCCTGGTTGGGTTCATGGGTCATGGTTCACGTGCTCACAGTTGTGGAGTCCTGGTTGGACTTCAGCTGAGTGACCAGTCTATCGAGAAGAATGCCGGAATGGAGGGTTGCCCAGAGGGGCGTCTGGTGCCTCCTCCTTGAGGCCCTTCTCTCTTCTGCATCAGCCAATGTCTTCTTTGAGGAGTTCTGAACTCCCTACATTTTTGCCACATCCAGGATTCTTTTTTTTTTTTTTTGTGGTGCTGGGGATTGAACCCAGGGTCTTGTGCATGCTAGGCAAGCACTCTACCAACTGAGCTATATCCCCAGCCCACATCCAGGATTCTTAAAACCGTGTTTTTCTCAGGAAATCTTGTCATACTCAAATGTCACTTGTTTGGTTCCCAAGTCTTCACTTTGGCCAAATGTTCCTAAAACCAACACGACTAGGCTGAGGGTCCCTTGGAGATGAGAGGGGATCCTGGCTACTGTGGTGCTCAGCACTGATACCGGGCTCCTCCTTCCTGCACTTGGCAGGTGACTCCAGCGGTCATCTGGGTAGCTCTAGGAGGCATAGGAACCAGTTTTGCCCCTGTTGGGCCCTCTGAGATGCAGGGGCAGGGAGGCTGCAGAGAGAGGTGTTGCCACCGTCTGTGGTACCTGGGTGCCCTCCTGGTGCTTGACCAGCCCTCCCTCCAAGTTGGCTGGTGGTATCCTGCCGCCTTCTCCATAGTTGGCAGGGCTCGTGGTGGGGATGAGGAACTGCCAGAGCCGTGTTCCGCTTGGCTCCTCTGCCGGTTCCCAGGGCCTCCTTGCTCGCCACGCTCTCAGGCAGTGCCTCACGCCATCCGACTCACACACACAGAAAGAGTATCTGTGTGGCACACTGTTCCCAACTTATCATCTTCAGGCTCAGCGGGCTCTGCCCACCAGGGAGGGGTGCCCACAGCACAGGTAGACGGGTGACTGCAGTTCCCTGAGTGAGGCTGCAGACGGTGCAGGGCACTTAGGGCACCCTCAGCTCTCATATGGCCCCCACTCCTCCCAGGAAGAGGCCGGTTTTGTCGACATCTAAGAGGAGTACAGCAGGCTCTGTGTGCCTGTGCAGGGGTTTTCTGGACTCCGAGGTGCCATTTCTGTGGCCATGGTCTCTCTCCCACCAAGACCTGCTGTTGCGGGCAGAGCTGGACCCACACAGGTTGTTCATGGAATGGTGGTCCAGAACCTGCAGGCCTGTGGCTGGGCTGGAGGGAGTGTTGTTCCTGAGGGCCCTATTGCCCAGATAGGAGTGGGGACATGAGGCACCCACTCAATTAACTTGCACTTTGTGGAAGACACACTGGTTCCAAAGGGTAAAGTAGAAGTTTAGCAGTGAATGTCATCTTTGATTCTTCTGGATAGTTGCAAAACGGGATTGTAGACTGCCCGTGGGCATTGTCCCATTGACTTGCTTAAGATGTGATGGCAATCGAGGTGTAAATGTGTCCTTGCTCCTGGGGGGATGAGTGCAGATGTGCCCCAGATGACGCTCTGGTGCTGTGGTGACTGGTGACAGCTGCCTGTCATATCTGCCTAGCTGTGTGCCCATTGCATGGTGCAGGTGGGTGGCACTCCAGCAGGGCCTCTGCTCTTGGGTCAAGGGTCACTTGTGGTGGTTGGTCTACGCTTTGGGAGCTTTTCTGAGAAAACTGCTGTCCTCTGTGACAGGTGTGGTCTTCTCGTCACACAGGTGATCTTAGACTTGATTCCGTATGAAAACGTCGTGGTGAGCAGAGCGCTGGATGGGGACACAGCCTTCCTGGAGACCCTTGGCATTTCCTCCGTCCCTTCCTGTTACTTGATCTACCCAAATGGGTCTCGTGGATTAGTTAACGTGTAAGTGCTGTTGGTGTAAGGCGTGTTTGTGGTGTTCAGTGGGACCCAGGGAAGCTTATACCTTGCTGGACGGAGCCTGCAGGTCCACAGGACAGGGACAGCCTGTGGCAAAGTCCTAGGGCCCTGGGTCTGGTGGTGCCTACCGGGGTTTATTCTCACCCAGCTCTAGACTCCGGGGGGGTTCGTCCTCTGGGATGTTTCCTTGGGTTTCTAAGCAAACCCCAAGCCAAGCAAATGCCCACTGACCACCCCCCTGTGCCCCACTTTTACACTGCTCCTGGCTCTAGACTGGTCTGGCTGTGGCCGTGAGCACAGGTGCCCCCCTCTGCAGAGTGAGCCATGTGGGTGACTGCGGGTTCCATCTCCTCGAGGAAGGCACCAGAGGCCCTGGTGGACCTGCTCTGAGTGTCGGTGTGCCTGCACCCCAGAGACAGGGTTGAGTGAAGTCAACTACCAGAGTGAAGCAGCAGCTGGACAGAGGGTCGGGAGGCTGCGGGAGGAAGCCTAGGCCGCCCTGTGGTGCATGGGTCCCCTGCCCTGGGGACCATCAACAGCCACTAGCCTGGAGGCCCCTGGGGCCAGGGGTGCCTCAGCCTGTGCTGAGATGGCCCCATCTATCCAATAGTTTCTGGTTGGTCACCACGTCCAAGCACCTCTGATTGTCAAGGACATGACAGAAGAAGGCAGCCCACGTTCCCTGCCCCATGGGCTTTGTCTTACATCTTCAAAGGTCAGCAGGCAGGAGGGCCCTGCCCAGAAGCCCCATGTATACCTTGGGCATATGTCTGTCCTCAAACAAAGAAGAAAATTTAGAACTCGGAAGTCTCCCCATTTGTCCAGACGGGCTCCAAGCCCCTGGGAAGCCCAGCCATGTCAGAGACTCCCTGGCAGACCTGTTCCCACAACGGCTGCTGGTCCTGGGGACAGATATTTGTGTGGCTTCATGTCACATGTAGAGCCTCTTATCACAGAATCACATTGGCACTTGTACAAATAGTGCTCCTGCTTTCCTTTTGGAAACTCTAAGCCGCTCTGCCTGCCCCTGATGAATCCTGAGCTGCGGAGGATGTGCCGGGCGGCTTCCACCATATGCCAGGAGTGTGCTCGCCACACCGTGCAGTGGCTGGCCCCGCAGAGCTCAGGGGCTGACGGCCCCTCGGGCCTGGCTCCAGATGCCCGCCAGTTGGCAGATTGTGGGCATGTCGGTGAGACCCAGGCGCATCTGAAATGAGTCGGGATAAAGCTGATCTTGGCAGATGCTCAAAGCAGCTTTACGAGCATCTTCAGGTCCCGCTGAGCACGATGAGCCCCCGTCCTCCTGCAGCTGCACCTCGGCGGTGGTCTGCGCACCGCCCCTCGTCTCCCAGTGGGAGGGCAGCCTGAGGGCCCCTGAGGCTCTGCCCACTGCTCCTGGTCCCCAGCCCCAGTGAGTGCCCAGAGTTGACAGTGGGGTAGGGGAGGCCGGAGAGCACAGCCCTCAACCCCAGGTGGACAGGCCAGGGAGGCAGCGCCTGGCCCAGTGTCCTCACCTCTCCCCTCTCCTTCCTCACAGCGCAAAGCCTCTCCGGTCGTTTTTCTCCTCTTATTTGAAGTCATTGCCGGATGTGAGGAAAAAATCACTTTTCTTGCCTGAAAAACCAAACAAAGCAGAGAATTCAGAGGTGGTGGTTTGGAGAGAGTTCGACAGGCAAGTGTTCCTGCCAAAGCCATGGGTGGGCCCGTGGGGAAGGCTACTTGGATGCCTCCCCACTGCTGGCCCCACAGGAAGCCTCCGGGGGTCAGGGCGGGGTCAAGGAAAGGAGGGACGGCAGAGGAAGGCCACCTGGACCTGACTCTGTGCTCCATTCCAGGGCGAAGCTGTACATGGCGGACCTGGAGTCGTGCCTGCACTACCTGCTCAGGGTAGAGCTGGCTGCCCACAGGTCGCTGGCTGGCGCCCAGCTGAAGACACTCAGGGACTTCGTGACTGTCGTCTCCAAGGTGCGGGCATCAGGCTCTGCAGCAGGTGGTGCTGCGGGCTCTCGTCTGTTGGCCTGGGGTCGGCTGCCTCCCACCCTCCTCCCCACCGCCCAGCCTGCCCTTCTGCTCCTAGTGCCCTTCGCGTGCCCGGTGCAGGCCCTGGGACGCCGTGCAGGCTTGGGGGGGAGTGGGGGTATGAGCCTGTCGGAAAGGTTGGGCTCTGGCTTCCTGGAGATGGGACAGCGGGGGCCGTGGACCCCCTCAGCCCCGGCTAGACTGGGGCTCCCTGGGCTCTGGAGCAGGAGGTGGAGAGGGTGTGAGGGAGAAGCAGCAGGTGGGCTGTGTGGTCGGGCAAGGAGTCTGCTCCTAGGCCAGGCTCTGGGAGGTGCCTGGGTACCGTGCTTGAGCCATCCCTGCCTGACACAGGGTCTGCCTGGTGGAGCCGGGTCTGCTGGGCCAGGTTCAGTCGGCCAGGGCCCGTCCCGGGAGGGGGCTGGGGGCCACACTGTCTGGAGTTCAGAGGAGGGGACGCGTCTCCAGGGGTGGGGTGGTGGCTGAGCCAGGCTGCGTGGCAAGGTGGGGAGGGGGTGCTGAGGCAGGAGCGTACTGCATGGCCAGACCCAGGCTGACAGGAGCCTCCAGAGGGGCTGGGGGAGGGGGCTGGGGGAGAGGTGCTGAGCTGGGGTCACACCGCTCCCTTGAGGAGTCCTGCTGAGGGTGCAGGGGCTTCTAAGGAGGAGGCAGGACAGCATTCTGCTGTTCAGAGCTTGGCCTACGGGTGGCCCTGGTCCATAGTGCCTCTGAGGTGGGCCGATGGCCCTCCATCCCGAGCCCTTGTGGAGGAGGCAGGTGCTCCTGTGTTGGTGTGTGGGACGCATGAGAGGTGTCTCAGGGAGCCTCCTGCCAAGAACTTGGCTCTATGGTTAGGAGCCAGTGGCTTGTTGGTCTTTGAGAGACTTGTGTGGGCCGGCTGGGGCCACAGCCTTCCCCTCCCTGGGGATCAGTCTGAGCCTTCCTTCTCCTGGCCTTAGTGCCCTGGGAGCCTGACTTACAGCCTCTACTCTCTGACCTCAGAGGCCATCCTTACCTCAAGCCTGTCCCCCTACACCTAGCCCCTGCTGCTGTCACAGGTATAGTCCACATCCAGTGTCCCCATTACTGTCTGCAGGACTAGGATCCAGATCTGATAGGACTTTTCTTGTCAATAGTAAGGTCCCCAAAGGAGCAATTTATATTCCAGCCTTGGGATAGTCAACATTTACATGTGTAGTATGATTTTTGAAAAATGAAGGAAATACAACTTATATTTTTTTAAAAAAATGAGTCCTGGGGCTGGTGCTGGGACTCAGTGGTAGAGCACTTGCCTCGTAAGCATGAGGCCCTGGGTTCAATCCTCAGCACCACATAAAAATAAATAAATAAAATAAAGGTATGGTGTCCATCTACAACTGAAAAAGTCTTTTAAAAAAATAACGAGTCCTGTGATACATTTGCGGTATTGGGATTGAACCTAGGGTGCTTCAGCACTGAGGGAAACCCCAGCCCTTTTTATTTTCACGTATCTTTTGCCTCAGCCGGCCCCATCTCTGGGAGTTCAGGCTTGCCACTCCACGCCCTGCTTGAGAATTGCTTGGATGGCTGCTGACCCCACCGTGCCATTCAGGGGTGAGGAAGCTGGCTGGGGTGGGTCCTTGACGGCAGCGCCCGGCCAGCCTGTCCATCAGTGCCTTCCCATGGCCGCCACAGAGGGCTTTCTCTGCGTTTCCTCCTCCTCCTCCTCCTGGGATGGGCTTCCTCTCTGCAGCTCCCCCTCTCCCATGTACCAGCTGGCCGGAGTGCTTCTGGCTTTACACACCTTTGGAAGTCAAGATAATAAATCATTCTTAATTTTTCTAAAACTTTTTTTAAATGTCAAAAAATAAACAATTCAGGTAAGTTGATTAACATCGATAGACAATTTTTTCACTGTGTTGGAATGTGATGTTGATGGTCTGCCTGTGACATTCAGCTGGGTTTTTTAGTCTTTGGCAGCCTTACTTTGTACATATACTAAGAGAATGTCCACATCCAAGTTCTTTTATTTTTATTTTTAATTCTAGTCAGTTATCCATGACAGCAGAAGGCATTTCAGTTCATCTTACACCAACGGAGCACAACTTTTCGTTTCTCTGGTCGTACAGGATGCAGAGTCGCCCCACGTGTGCAGTCATACGTGCACCTAGGGAGATGATGTCCATCTCATTCCACCATCTTCCCTACCCCACGCCCCCTCCTTGTCCAGAGCTCCCCACGTGCACTCCATCCTGGATCAGCCCCCTTACCAGAGAGGACATTCTGCCTTTGGTGTTTGGGGCTTGCCTTACCTCGCTTGGCATTCTATTCTCCACCTCCGCCGTTGACCAGCAGATGCCGTGATCTGTTCTCTCTTCATGCCGAGTCCTATTCCGTTGTGTATATAGAGCTCAGTTTCTTATCCGTTCATCGACTGAAGGGCCTCTAGGTTGGCGCCACAGTTTACAATTGTTCTTTATCAAAGGAGTACAGAACACCAGGTTAGCTCAGTGCTTCTCTAGGCTCCAGTGACAACTCAGCGTCACCCACCGGGACAGGTCATTGTTTCCAGACACCTTGTCAAGGCAGTCAGGCAGACACAGCAGAAAGGGGCCTGTGGGGTCAGGCTGCAGTTAGAGGAACCTTCAGCAGGGCCAGCAAGCCCTTGACAATTTGGTAACGAGTCACACTGTCACCATGGTCTGTCATCATGAATTGGCACCTGGTGTGAGCCAGCATGGGGGCCAGGTGGGTGAAGTCCATAGGACAGGCTGGGTAGGGAACTGGTGGGACATCTCTGTCCCACAGACTCTCACCCCTGCCCCTTCTGCCCAGGACCTCTAGTTTCTCACAAACTCCTCATTCCAGTTTAGCCCTCAAATAGATGGAGCCGTTTCCCTGGAGAGCTACGCAGGGCAGACTGTCAGGCCGAGCTCCGTCCTGTCCTGCAGGCTGCACCACCTGCATCCCAGACCTGGCCCCGGAAGCACTCGGGGGTGGGCAGCACTCTTCCCACAGGCTCTTATGGGTCCTTTCTTGCTCAGCTGTTTCCCGGCCGACCACCTGTCAGGAAGCTGCTGGAGATGCTTCAGGAATGGCTGGCCAGCCTTCCCCTGGACAGGATCCCCTACAGTGCCGTCCTTGACCTGGTCAACAACGAGATGCGGGTGAGCCCAGACCCCTGCCAGGGCTCAGGGTACCCCGGGCGCTGCAGTTGTCCTGCTCACCAGCACACTTCCTCCTTCCTGCCCAGGGCTTGGGGCCCAGATCCTGCCACTGGGGGGAGGAGAACCACACCGTCCTGTGGGTAGTCCCCTGGGACCTTGCTGTCCACAGTGTCAGGGCCCTGTTTCCTTGACAACTGCATGTCTCCTGCGTGGTGCTGGCAAGTCATGCTGAAGTTGTCACTTTAAGGACCCTTCATCACAAGTGCACTGTGACCTCCTGTGGAGATGGCAGCAGTGTGGCACAGGGCTTGTTTTTCTTTTGTGTCTGTTTTAACTTCAGTAAATTCTATACCTACAGCCAGGGATCGGCGAGTGGGCAGCCCACTGGCCTCCAGGCCAGGTGCCTGCAGGTGCGGCCTTCCCTCTGTAAGCCTGAGCAGCGGCTCCTGGCCCCAGAGGTTCAAGGGCAGGAAGTCACCCAGCCCCTCTGTCCTCACCTCCCTGACATCAGCCAGCCCTGGCCTGGTGCTGTGTGCCCCTGCTGCAGGTGTTGGCCCCCCGCCACGTGCCGTCGTGGCTCGAGAATGAGTGCTGTGCTTCTACCTCTGTCCTTCTCCAATGTTTGGGTGCAGCAGTGTCCTCCAGAATGGAACTGGGAGCTCTGGTTGCCCCCTGGCTGAGTGCAGGGCCTGCGCCCCCGCAGCCAGTGCCGCCTGCCTGTGAGCCGTGCTGCACGTTAGGCCGCCATTGGCTCTGGAAGGCGATATGCCTTGCCCTTTTGGCTGCTGGTAGATGTTGGTGGGTTTTACTCGCAGCGTCTTTGTCACAGCTGACCCTAACTGAAGAGGAAACGTGGCGTCTTCTGTTTGATGCTGCTGACTTATCAAGGGAGAGGACGCTCCCTCTGTCCTATGACAAAAAGGAAAAGGCCACCTCCCATATCTTAAGACCCTTTAGTAGGTAGGCATTCGGCCCTCAGGGTCATTGTGTGTGAAGTTCAAGTACTGAATGAGACCACAGCGCAGACGTTTGCAGGGAGGACGCCGACTGGTGCCGCCCTTGTGGACCGGCTTGAGCAGCTGTGGCAACAATTGTCTCCCAGTCTTTACATCATTTTTCTTCCCCAGATTTCTGGAATCTTCCTTACCAACCATGTGAAGTGGGTAGGATGTCAAGGAAGCCGCCCAGAGTTGAGGGGCTACCCGTGTTCACTCTGGAAGCTGTTCCACACTCTGACTGTGCGGGCTTCTACCCATCCAGAAGCACTGGTGGGCACAGGTAAACCGCCCCCTGGGCTGCGGTGGTGGCTGGTTGGTGGCCTGATGCATCAACCGTGCTGTGCACTGGGGAAGCCAGAAGCATCAGGGTTAGTTTAGGGCCCACACAGAGGAGGCAGGTGTGACATTTTCTCACAATGCACACATGACAGCACCCACCCATGAACTTACAAGCCCATGCATTGCAGACCTGCAGGGAAGAAACGGGAGGCAGAGCCTGCTGGCCAGGGGTTTCTTTCTTGTTTTTTGGTAGTGCTGGGGATTGAACCCAGGGCCTTGTGCTTGTGAGGCAAGCACTTTACCAACTGAACTACATCCCCAGCCCCCTGGCCAGGGATTTCTCTGCAGTATATGCTCAGAAAAAAACAGGAAGGTCAGCAAAACCTTTTGGAGGGGCATATTAGTTATTAATTTGGGGGTCCTAACAAATCGCCCCCAAATTTAGCAACTTAAACCAGCCTCCCTTGATCGTCTCAGTTTCAAGGGGTCAGGAACCTGGGTGTGGCTTAACCTGGGTCCTCTGCTTGAGGCTTCTGAGGCCCCACTGGGGAGAGACCGCTCACTGCCTCACCTCCTTGCCATGCTCCCCGGGCTCTCGCCATGGCCTACAAGCTCTGCTCCCTGTCCCACCCCGTGGGCCAACCCACCACAGCCTCTGGCTCTGAGGGAGCCCTGGGAGAGGCAGCATGTCTCTGGTAATACTTCTTCTTTTCTACCATCTTCTGGTCATTGCAAGTGAGTTGGTGGGTCACCTGCTCCCTGGAGAGTGTTCTGTGAGGCCCCTGATTGCAGGCAGCAGGCACCAGGGGCCATCCCAGAGGCCACCTGCCGCGAGGTTAAAAACTGTAGGAAGGGGCTGGGGCTGGGGCTCAGCAGTAGCACACTTGCCTGGCTTGTGTGAGGCCCTGGGTTTGATTCGCAGCACCACATATAAATAAATAAAATAAAGGTCTATCAACAACTAAAAACAAAACAAAAACCATAGGAAGTTGAGTTTGATAGTCCAGTTGTTACAAACTGCTAGCTCAACCCTGCCATGAACCCCCCTGGTGGGACGCGCCTGGACGCAGGACTCCCCTGTGCTAGGCCACTGTGTTTGCTTCCCCGTGAGCCTGGTGCAGTCGTGGGGTGGCTGCCCTTCTCAGCTGCCTTTCCAGGCCACTGACGCTCGCTCTAAGCCCAGTGGTGGCTGGACTTGGGGCCCTGCCTAGTGCTGAGCTGTGGAACACCTTGCCTCTGTTTGCTCGAAGTGTTTTGGGTCTGCAGCTTGGTCTGGGGTCGACTGGGCAGTTCTGTCAGTGAGGAGGGTCTCACCCCTGTAGCTATGGTCATCTGGGGGCAGCTGGAATCCAAGGGGCCTTGGAGTGGCTGTACTCCTGCAGGCCAGCTCCGGCCCCCTCCAGGTGGCATCCTGGCCAGGAAGGCCCAGAGCTGGGCCAGGAGCACTACTGGTGCAGCCAGACTGAGGGCTGGGAGCAGCGTCTGCTGTTCCTAGGAGCAGGAGCCAGGCCACTTTATCAGGACCATGTCCAGGAACGGGGCACCACCAGGCCGTCTGGATGCACCCATGCTGCCCTCCCCAGGGACACCGTGCAGTACTGCTGCCGGGGTGTGGTCTTACCTGCACATTCCTTTAGGGACCAGAAAGTAGGAGTGTGTTTCTGGGGAACCTCAGGAGCCACCCAGATGTTGGAATCAGAGCGGTGTGCTGTGTGACTTGAGGCCCTTCACACCCAGGCTGCACCCCTGGGTGGGGCGTTCTGGTGAGGGAAGGGGGCTCGTGCCAGCACCCGTCCTCCCACTGTCACACCAGAGCACTGTGGAGTGTGACGGCCAGGGCGCAGGCCCTCGGGTGCTGGGGCACAAAGCTGACGCCTGAGGGGTGGGCTGTAGAGGCAGCAGCGCAGCCACAGCCGCTCTCCTGCCTGAGCTCGAGTGTCTCCGAGGAGGAGCTCTCCGCAGAGGGAATTGGGTCAGACGAGGCGTGGGATTAAGTCTTGGAGGTTTTCTTCCCTTATTGCACGTTTAAACCCATCCACTAAAGCGCCAGCCGAGCGCTCTAATCCTCCCCAGGTAGAGGTTTATGGTTCTTGTCCACTTTAAAGATTAGGGTCCTCGAACGTGCAGCCGTCTGCAGGGAGAGGAGGGGGATTACCCTGATGTGAGGCAGATGTCTGGAGAGCTCCCGGCAGGGAGTGGGGGCCAGACGGGCCAGGTCACAGGGCACTGCCTGGATGCCATGAGCATGCCCAGAGCCAGCGGGCGTCGGCAGCGTGCTGAATTCTGCCTTCTCAGATTGAAACAAACAGGGTCTTGGTCTGAGTCCCTGACTGCCAAGGCCTAGACCCAGGAGCCTGCAGTCCTCGACAGGTGGACACCTAGGTCAGGCTTATGGACAGTTGTCCTCCACAGGGTCTGCAGACGCCATGTGGGCCTGCTGTGGTGGAGAGGGACTCCTTCCCCCAAGCACATCTTTTTGGTGATCGTTTTGCCACGTGGCTTTCGATGCTGACGTGCGTGTGGCGAGCTTTAATCCTGTTCCCTTATTTGCACGCTCGTCTGAGTGGAGCTGCTGGCCCCTCCGTCCCCATGCCTGGGCTTCCGGTTGCTCCCTTCTGCCCCCAGGCTGGGGCTGCCTGTAGAGGCACGGCATGTTTGTTGCTCCTTCTCAGTGTCCCCACTGAGCTGTATCTGTCCCGTCCTGTGCCATTAGCCATGGCCATGGGTACTGGGCTGTTTCCCTGTGGAACCACCGCTCTGCTGGGAGGCTCAGCCTTTTTGAAGAGCGTGGGCCTCACCAACCTGCCTGCCCTTGACCACCTCTTCTCAGGAATGTCATCTTCAGCAGGGCGAGTCCTGAGGCTCTGTGCTCCTGGGTGGGTGTCTGCCGATGTGGTAGGGCACCCAGTACTGCTGGGGGTGGGCTAAAGGAGGGAGGCTAGCAGTCAAGGGGGCCTGTGCCGCCCATCGCTCTCTGGGTCCTGAGGCCAAGGGCAGAGGCAGCTGACAGCCTGGTTGTCATCCTTCTGAAGGGCTGTGGCGTTTGTGGCACTGAGTACTCGTGGTTGGTCCCCCTTGGTACCAGCACACAACTCAGGTCTCCATGCCAATGAGGTGTCCCCTTTGAGGTGTGGGCACCTTCATCCTCATGCCCTTGAGGGGCCTTGGGCACCTTTTGGGACACCAGGGTATCTGGGGAAGTTGTGGCCCCTAGTTTGTGTCCTTAGTCTCCGTGGGGACTCAAAGCTGGCCTGCATTGCCTCAGGCACAAGGCTGAGCAGTGACCTTTGGGCCTGGGGCACCAGTGGCTCTTGTTCCCTTGCAGGTTTTGAAGATGACCCCCAGGCCGTGCTGCAGACCCTGAGGAGGTACATTCAGACCTTCTTTGGGTGCAAGGAATGTGGCGAACATTTCGAGGCAATGGCTAAAGAGTCCATGGATTCCGTGAAAACGCTGGACCAAGCTGTGCTCTGGCTCTGGAGCCGGCACAACGCAGTCAACAGCCGCCTGGCCGGTGGGTGTCCCTGGCCCTGGGACAGCTCTGTGGGCCTGGTCGTGCGGGCAGCATGGGTGAGGCATATGTCGGGGACAGCCAGGTCTGCAGGCCTCCAGGTCCTAAGCTGTCTAGCTTGTCCTCTCGTTCTGGGGTACATGGTCCTCATGAAGGTGGACAGAGACTGATATGGCTTTCTCTCTTCCGTCACACCCTTCTCCAAGTAATTTTGACACTAGAAAATTAAGGATGTGATTAATTTTTATAAGGAATTTTAGTATCTTTAAAATCTGTTCTCAGACTGTAAGCCAAACCTCTCAGAGTAGTTTTATTTAAACTAAATAGGGCACAAGCAATTTCTCAGAGTTAAGTAATTCAGACTTCCAAAATCAATGGCAGATTAGAATTAGGCTTAAAAATAATTCCACTGAAAAATGAATTTAATAGAGATGAATAGAAAATGCTGCTGAACTGTTGGTTCTCACTTAATCCACTGTGTCATAAAAACACGTTACAACTGGAGCACTAAAGAAAATTGGTTCTTCTTTGCACTGAGGGCTGCGGGCGCCTTTGCGTCCCTGGGATTTGCTCCCTCCCTGTCAGCTGTGCCTCGAGGTGAGCCTCGAAGGCCACAGGGGGCTCTCTCCACACCCAGCGCCTCTTGGGCCTCTCCCTCCTCCCCATAGAGGTCTCTGGTCATCTGGGCGTTCAGCTCTGAGGCGTCCAGAGCAAGATGCCAATTGGGGCTGCCCTGTCCAGGAGCCCTGCTGTCAGCCTGTTCCCATCAGCCAGCTGCGGTGGGGGTCCCTTGGCCTATGTGGTGGGGCCACTCCTGAGGCTCCATGCATTGCTCCCTGTCCCCCTTCCAGCCTGAGAGGCCCTCAGGGGTCTGGCCTAGTCTCCTGTCCAGCATCAGCTCTGACTCTGCAGCACTTGGTGTATCTCTGTGCATAACCACCCTCAAGTCCCACTAGGTGGCCTCTCCTGGGGTGTGCAGACTAGCCTTTGCCTTGTCCTCTCCTGGCTCTGTGTCCAGCATATGGCACACAGCAAGCAGGATAGGTGTCATCAGCACCACGGAGGCTTGTCTGGGAGCTTTGTTGGTTCTGCAGAGGGAGCTGGGCTGGACCCTGCAGCCAGGTTAGCACATTACCAGGGGAACCCTAGCTCACACCTGAGTGCAGGGCAGCCCTGATCTCAGGTCACACAGGCAGGTGTTGCTGAGTCCCCTGCTGGCCTCCCTGTGGCCCTTTGTCAGGCCTTCGATCAGAGGAATGAAGAAGGGAGAAATCCCAGGGGAGGGCAGGAGTCAGGCCTCAGGCAAGGCTGCTGGGAGAGGGTGGAGAGCCTTTCTGAGGGCAGCTGAGCAGCCACATCCACACTCAGAAGGAAGTGCTCAAGCAAGTGTGCAAAGCTGTATGTGGACGTCCGTGGCAGAGGTGCTTGCGTGGCTGTTCACTGGGAAGTGTGATGGAATGAACAGTGGGGCTGTGGCAGGAGACCCCGCGTGGGGTAGGTTTGTGTTCGGGAGCAGGAAGCCAGTCGCAGCTGAGCGGCACCACAGTAGAGGAGGATGCTGTGTGGCGTCCTGCCATGTATAGAAAAGCGGTCTCCCAGGACCTGTCTCTCAAAGGACCACGAGGTGGGCAGTACCCCTGGCAGCCGGAGTGGGCGGTGTTCGGTGGGGTGTTGGGCCTCTTGGGCCTCCTGGAAGGTAGGAGGTGGGGCCTTTGGGTCCTTCTGGCAGAGCAGAGCTGGTGGATTGCCTCAGGGCTTGGTCAGGCAACGGCAGGTGGGCCAGGTGTGCAGGGTTCTTCCTTGGTGTGCAGGCGTGGGGCCCACCAGAGGGAGCAAGAGCTGCTGCCTGCCTAGGAGGACTGAGGGGGCAGCAGAGCCCTGTGGCCTGCCACCTGCACAGGCCCAGCATCCCATGGCCAAGGCCTGTCTGCAGTGATTCTCCCCTTCCTTTTCTCCTAGGCCACCTGAGTGAGGATCCCAAGTTTCCGAAGGTCCCATGGCCTACCCCAGACCTCTGCCCAGCCTGCCACGAGGAAATTAAGGGCCTGGACAGCTGGAACGAGGGCCAGGTGCTGGTGTTCCTGAAGCAGTACTATAGCAGCAGCAACCTCGTAGACATGTACTCTGCAGACCAGGGAGAGTCCAGTGAGGGAAGAGCCCTGGGCAGGGGCGAGGTGGAGGGCCAAGCACTGACTCCCCCAGAGAAGTTCCGCAGAGACCAAGATGCCGAGAGTCTTCGTCCGCCTGGCATGCTGGGCCCCAGAGCTGACCTTCCCCAGGATGTGCAGCACAGGCTGGACCTGAGACTCCAGAGTCCCCGTGGGCCTGGGGCCCTCCAAGAGGCTGAGGCCGCCGCACCCTTTCTTGGGGTTGGCTTCTCCAGCCTGGACATGAGCCTCTGCGTGCTGTTGTATGTGGCCTCCTCTCTGTTCCTGATGGTGATGTACTTCTTCTTCAGAGTGAGGTCCAAGCGATGGAAAGTCCGGCTTCACCACCCAGCTGTGTAGAGTGCTCCCGAGGCAGTGCTGGCAACACGCGGGAAGCCCTTGGAAGCCCTTGGAAGCCCTGCCCCCTGTGCCACCTGCAGCTTTCTTGTTCATGATCAGGGGCTCAAGACCTGGTCCCCTCACAGGCCTGTGGAGACTGGGTAGTCTTGTGGGCGTGCTCACGTCTGAACCCTGTCCATGCCTCCCGCAGCCCTTGTTGCAGGAAGACTTGGTGACCTCATTGAGGTCAAGGAACAAGAGGAGCAGCCCCAGCTGTCCTGTGCCCCGCAGTGATCGCAGGCGACAGCTCTACAGGGCCTTGCTTCTGTGTTGGCAGAAGCCTCGCTGGAGGAGCCTTCCCCACACAGTGTGCCCTGCCCTGCAGCCCTCAGAGTAGACGTGGTGCTCCAGTGATGTGGGATCTCCTTTTTGGCCACCTGACTGTCCCCACTTAAGCAAAAGAACAGTTGTGTGGGAGCTCAGGGAACTCGGGAGCAGAGAAGGAAGGGTCTGGTCAGTCCTGTGCCCTGCAGGGCGATCCGTTCAGATGTGGAGACTCAAGGAACCCGGCCAGGGGAGAGCTGTATCTCAGAAGTGACTCAGGGTCCTGGGGAGTAAGCCTGGGGCTTGGGAGGGACAGGGTGGTGGCAGTGCCTTTTTGTTGGTTGGCTTTTCGGATGATAAAGAGATGTAAGTGAGGGTCATCCCAATCTGGCTGTCCTGGGGGCGCTCTGGGCCCAGTGGTGGGTTTGAAGACTAGGTCTACAGGAGGGGTATGGAGGACCGGTCTGCTCTTGGGGGCATGGTCTTCGGATGACCTCTGTAGGAGCCCTTTGTCTACTCTGGTCCTTTTCCAGCCCCACATGAGGCACCACAGAGGCCAGGGACAGGCCCAGTGAGGAAGGCAGAGGCCCCTGGCCATGAGCCCTGTAGGACAGGCCTCCCTGACCTGAAGCTGTGGACAAGGTTCCTAGGGGCACTGGTCTCCCAGGCCTCAGGAATGATTTTTTTTTTTTTTTTTTTTTTACCATTTAGCAATTTAAACGCATTATTAAACCCAAAACACTTAGTGGTGAATCAGCCTCTGAAGACTTAAAGGGAGCAAACTGATACATGCTTTGGGACGTTCATAGAGAGTCCCTGGCCATTGGTTTGTCCCACAAGCTTTCATTGGATATGGTGGACTCATGCTCTGATGTGCCCATCTCTGTGCACGTGCGTGACCCAGATGCCTGTAAATACCTTTTCTACTTTGCTGTTTTGTATTTGATGCTCAAGTGTGTCCTGAAGACATTTGGTCACGTGGATGTCGTTTAAGACCCTATGACCTTGCTGTCACTGCTGCCACTTAAGGGAAATGGACAGCTGCCTCCCTGGGCTGTGGCTAGTCCAGCCCTGGAGTGCTGGGTTGACCAGAGGATGGGTAGGGGAGCCGCAGGCAGCTGCCTGAGGCCAGCAGGACGGGAAGGACATGGGGACCAAAAAGACAACCACGTGACCAAATGTCTTCAGGACAC